ATATATCTTAGTTTATCACGATGTTAAAAGCTAATAAAAAATATTTAGAAGTGCTCAGGACTAAATATATATATTTGAAATAAAAATTAAGTAACATGATAGAGAATTTAAAGAAAGCAATAAAATAATAACGTAGAAAACTCCAAATCAGAGAAAAAACCACGGCCTGAGGGAAAATCCACTATGTGAAAAATTATTACAATCACACAGATTTCTCTCCCGATCTCAATTACACAAAATACTCTTTCAAATCAAATACCGTTCAGTTAACTAGAGCTAGTATATCAGACTTAAAGTATTTCAATTTGGATTATTAAAACCCAAGCCCATGAGCTCTTTTTATAGTAGTTGAAACACATTTCCTCTTTGTACTTTTTCGATGTGGGACAACTTCTAGCACATGCATAATTCTTCCTCCAATGTAGGACAACTTTAATTCCAATATTTTGTCAAAACCCACCAGTTTTACGGAGTAATGTATATGGTGATATTGGGATGGAGGAATAGAAAAGAAATGTTTGTTGACAAGGGAGGGGTGCAGCAGAGAGCAGGCATGTCAATATATGTGGGAACTGAGAACTGGAACTGGAAGGGAGGGGTGGAAGGGAACAAAGAGACAGAGGAAGCTAATCCTTGGCCGAATTGGCCGAGGCCGACCATTTTATAACTCTACTGCACTGCCTACTGGTATCGCAGACGCAGACGCAGTCGCAGACGCTAAAACTAAAACCCTTCTTTAACGCTCCTCTCAAATTATTCACTTTCAGTGCCACACCCACTTGACACTACACTTTGTCCTTTTTCCCCAATTCTCCCTTTTGCCCATCCCCTTCCTCGTCTCATTGCCCCATCCTCCCGCCTACTTTCGACTTTTCACTATTTTGAATTTTTCATCCTCGCCATTTCCACTCCTCCAGCCTCCATTTTCGTAATTCAAACATTCTATTTATGCCTACCCAAAGTAAAAATAGTGTATTTACCGCCAATAAACTTGCAAAATTATATGAAGAGAAATATGGTATTTATTGTGGAGCAGCCAAGCTCATGTTAACTCCCTCATCTTGTTAATTATAATGTAGTATCTCTAATAATTATGTATATATGCATAGAGCATAGTTAAGAGCAACAGGAGCAGAAATATTTAAAAGCCAATTTCAAGAAATAAGAAGCGTGAGAATGGTAGAAATATACGAGTAGAGAAGATAATTGCAATTTACATGTTTACCATGCGACCAAAAAAAGAAAAATCCAAAATAGTGACTTGAGGGAGGGAAACGAGAGAAGAAAAGAAGAAAGGCGAGTGGAAAAGGAAGAAGTAGCGCGTGGAGGGGAATTACGAAACGGGGTTGCGAATGGCATAGAACGAGACGAGACGAAGGCGTAGCGGAGGGAGGCGGTGGCGGGGCGTCCCTACCACTTTGAAAAGAAGTGCAGCTTAAAGAAGGAACAAGCGTGGGCCCCACTGCTGGGTCACCCACCCCGCACCTCCCTTCTTTCTCTTTCACTTTCACAGTCACTCACTGCTAAAGTTGCGTTGCGTTGCGTTGCCCATTCCAATTTTCCGTCCAAACTCAAAGCAAAAGCCATAACCATAACCATAACCATAACCTTCCCCCAAAAGCCTCTTACTAGTTACTCCCCCAGGCCCCAGCTCCAGAGAAGCTCAGCTCAGACGGCGGCTGCTCCACCATATTCTCACTTCTCACTCAATCGATTCTACTCTCTATGTTTTACCACTCGTTTTATTAGGTCCACACTCCACAGCCCACAGCTCCCGCCAACATACACATCGTTTCTTCGGATGCCTCTTCACTGCTCAAACCTCACTCGGTCACACTTCTCTCTGCTCTCCCTTCCGCACTACCCAACACACCGCCAACTTGCAGCAACTCTACATACTATCAGGTTCTACTCCTCTTTCCTACGGGTGCGATCACATTTCCTGTTTCCCTCTTCCTTCCCATTTTCCTCATTAGGTCTCCCAGATCTCTTTATATTCCTTGTTACCTTGCCTTCAATTGCTCCCTCTTTTACTCCGCTTTTCTCCTGTCGTCCGGTCATATTAAGCTTTTGTTTAAGGAATAACGGTTTTATTGAATGTTGGAGTTTCACTACTTCTTGTCTTCTTTGCCCGCTTCGTTTGTGCTAAGTGCTACAGGGACAGATGGTTTGTATTACTGACTATGAGTTTAGTTATTCTTCGCATGATGTAATTGGAAGATTGCGTCAGTTTATTCTGTAAAATTTTACTTCTGGCGGATCTCTGTTTTCATTACATTTGGAACCCTCTTGTGTATCTAATAAGAAACTTCTTCACATCGTAACTGCCCGTTCTTACTTCTTAGTTTCTTTCAATACTTTTTTCTTCTGATTCATTTTCTTTCTCTGGGCAATGGGCGTATCATTTTTTATTTTTTTGCTTTGGAATGTATTTACCTAAGCCTTTAGTCTGGTCGATAGAGGAGGATAGTGGATTGGTAGGCAAAACTAGTTTATTTAAACGGCTGAATGGTTTCTTTTCTCTTGTCATCTGCCTTTATTGACTGATTCTACAATTAAAACATACATGAAACAGTTTGTCTTCTCAGTGCTTTTTTCTGTTCTTGAACTAATTTTCTTACGAGAAGCTAGTATATCATATTCATTTCACTGATTTTAAAGAAATTCTTGATGAATGAATACATTGATTCTCAGGTTGGTTTTTAAGATCTTCCCAATTGAAGAGAGGATTAACTGAATCAAAATCATGTCTGCAGATTTTTTTTACTTGGAAGTTTCTCTATGTGATGACACAAGTCACTAGACATGGAGAGGATTCCAGAGTCAAAAGCACTTCCATTATTATTGCCCATAGAGTTGGTTCCAGAATCGAAGGTACTTGCAGGTAAATTTTGTGTTTTGGATGATGTACCAATAGCACATGTGGCGTCAGCCAAGCAAGCAGGCCATTGGTCGGACATGCACTCAGCTAAGGTAAGAGAAGCGGGAAGATCCACTGGACAAGGATTTCAAGATCCAGAAGTTTCTGTACCTATACGGACATTAAAGGGAAAATCCTCTTTTTTGGGGCAGGAAGAACCTAAGCGTGATGTCACATTAAAGGGTAGTAGCAATTTAATTGAGGAAGGTGGTCCAAGTTCCTTCTCTGGGGCTAGCCACCCCCCAGAGCCTGTGGATATGGATCTGATGAGAACTGTTTATGTACCCCTGAGGCAAAATAAATCTGACGCTAGCTGCTTGATCAAGAGTTTTTCCGTGAAGGGCCCTTTTCTTGAGGATCTTTCAATCAGGGTTCCAGCCAAGAAACCATTCCAAGCTGCTCTCTCCCCTGCAGAAAGCTTAGTCGATGAACCACATGACTTGGGTGTTTTATCTTCCCCCTTTTCAGTTCCTCGTGCATCACAAAATACAGAAACTTCTCTCCTTCCCCCAGATTCCGAGGAAAAGGAATGTGTTTGGGATGCTTCTTTGCCCCCGAGTGGTAATGTAAGTCCACTCAGTAGCATTGACAGTAGTGGAGTTGTCACAGCTATGAGCATTGTCAATAGTTGTGCTAGCACATATCGAAGTGATGGAATGGTTAGCATTGAAAGAAACTGTGAGAGTACAAAAGGAAGCATTAGAGGGGACTCTCTTGAGAGTGCAAAAACAAGTATTAGTCGAGCTAGTGATAGCAGTGGTCTTAGTGATGATAGTAGTTGGAGCAACATCACAGGAAGTGCTAATAAGCCCCACAAAGGAAACGATCCTAGGTGGAAAGCCATTCTTGCTATTCGAGCAAGAGATGGAATATTAGGCATGAGTCATTTTAGACTGCTGAAGAGACTTGGCTGTGGTGATATTGGTAGTGTTTATCTCTCAGAGCTAAGTGGGACTCGCTGTTACTTTGCCATGAAAGTAATGGATAAGGCATCGCTTGCTATCAGGAAGAAGCTGACGAGGGCTCAGACAGAAAGGGAGATATTGCAGTTACTTGACCATCCATTTCTCCCGACTTTGTACACCCACTTTGAGACTGACAGATTTTCCTGTCTAGTAATGGAATATTGTCCTGGGGGCGACCTGCACACTTTGAGGCAACGACAACCGGGGAAACACTTCTCTGAGTATGCTGCAAGGTATGATAAATTCTTTAATCAGGAAAATATAATAAACCACAGTCCTCTAGTGACTGTTTTTGGCTGACCTCACTCCCTATTCTGTGCCTGCTTCAAATTCTTACTTCACTTGCACAATTTTTACATAATGTTAATTGCATGCTTTCCTGGATATTAATATCTGGATGCAGTTTTTTCTCTTCCGGATTTATCTTATCTCGTGCTCTTTATCTCATTCTGCATGGGTTCTAGAAGGGACAAAATATTTAATTCTAACAGACAAATTTCCACTACATATTTTCATATAGTGTTATTCAAACCGCCTATTGTTGTTTCATGTCTAAACCTCAAACATTACTAAGAAGAGAGTTTGTGATTAGTATGTATTAGTTAGATTTCATGGTTGGACTTTGTTAAACAAAAAGATATGATAGCCCGGAAAACCCGATAGAACAGTCCATTCTAATTAGTCTTTTTTATATTCCACATCATTACAGTTTGAATCTTTTTCTGGTACATAACTTTTATTTATGTTAATAATAATAATAATAATAATAATAATATTATTATTATTATTATTATTATTTTGGATAAGAAACAAAATGTGTATTCCAATCAAAAAGGCCCCTAAAGGGGATACAATCAAAAGGCGGAGGGTAGAGCTAACCCTCCCCAAATCTCTATACAATCACCGCTTTTCAATCTTGAGTAAGCAAAAGAAGATTGTAGTTACAAAAATATTTCTTGTGTAGTAAAGCCCACCAAGAAGCTAGAGGTTTAACATTCACACAAAAGAAATCTAACAAAATCAACTTATCTTCAAAAAGTCGACTACTCCGTTCCTTCCATATCGACCATAACAGAGCGTACAAAAAGAAAGTTCAACAGAAGGAGCCAAGTAACTAGCTCCAATTCAAAATGACAAGACCTAAGACGTAATTACAAAAATTCTTAGAAACCAACCCCCAAATAGAAGAATTCAACCTAGCAAGAGACCAAATCCTCCTATGATCTCTCAAGACCTCTGAAATTTCTATTATTTCTCTTAAGCCAAAGGCTCCACAGAATTGCGAAAAAGCTAGAATGTCACAAGATCTAACTATTATCATGAAATGGTACACGGGGACCTCTACCATAGAGCTCCCTACATTTATGGCCAAGCAAACATCAAACAACTCAAAAAAAAAAAAAAAAATCCCAAATCAAGCAGGTGAGTTGATGGTTCATAAAGAAATGACCTAAGTGTTAAGGACCTTACAAACCCAACACTAAGAATGCACCACTGCTACCCCACCAGAAATAAGAATGCCTTAAAACATAATCCAAGGTATTTGCCCTCCCATACAAAACCTACCAAGCAAAGAACTTGACATTCTTTAAAATTTAACCCTCCAGAACGAAATAAAAGAGGAATGATTGGAGGGAGACGTATCACACAAAAGATAGAAAATATATATATACAAAAACCCTAGAAGGATCTGGACAAAACAACTATCTCTTTTCCCAGAGAGTCACAGCATAAGTCCTTGGAGAAAGGATGATGTAAGCCAAGAGAGGACAAGGAAGAAGTTCTTGGAGAAGGTAAAATGGAGGTCATGGAAAACTAGAAGATATAGCATTCTAGAGTTTTTGAATGTGCCTTTTGACCGACCCCAACTCTATGCCCTTCCATAGGGAAGAGGACCATACTTACTCCCAATAACTCTATGCCACAGAGTCAACCTCCAGGAAAGTGAGACCACCACTTAACCAACGGGGCTTCGTTGAACTTCCCCACAAATCTCCCAGTCTAGATATGACTTACTAGTTCACTAAATGAGATCCCCCAATCTCGTCCACCCTTTCCCATAAGAAGTAACTTATAATCCTTTCCAACTTCTTACGACCGTGCCTAGGGATGAAGGAGAAATTTCAGTTGTTCATCCTCTTCCTCCCTTGCCATGAATTTCAATGATCCTAAGAAAGCTAATGGTAGATAAAGGAAGGGCTATGGAGATGAGGCTTCCATTTGGTATTGTATGGACTGTGGATGCATAGGTCATTTCCCTTCTTTATGAAATTGAGTCTATATACTTATTAAACGTATATATTCTTCATATTATCAATGTAGAATGAAGGCTAAGGTCAACGAGTAGTATTTTACTTGTAAGCTATATTTTAGTTGATTCTTGTTTTTTATCCATTTAAAAAAAAAATAACACACACACACACACACACACACACACACACAGTTGATTCTAAGAAATGACTCAAAGTAATTAAATCTTTAACCTGTACCCTTAGGAATAAAATAGGGGGGAACCTTATAAGTGCGTATTTGGGATCATACCTTCTGGCAGACCTTGTGGACTACTTGTTCATAGGTCATTCTTGTCACAGTCTCTCCCTCTCTCTACCATCTGGAGGAAGATGTTCCCTGCTTCTGCTCCAAGACTCCCACTCTTTTTCAGAGATGGAAATTTCTCCTTGATTCCTAGGCACGTACCGATTTCATCCAGAAAATTGAATTCAACGACTGAATAGGCATATAAGAGCACAATTTCCAACTTACTTGTTCCAGCAGACTGAACCAACTTCATTTTCATGTCAGCTGACCCAAACATAGATATGCCATCTGCTATATCTCGATTAGCAGCTGACTCTAAAATGGGAGACTTTCACATGTAATTTTCATTGGTCAACCCAGTCTGCAAATAGACAAAAATGTGAAATCGAACAGGTAGGTCCTTATTTTTGGGGGGAGGAAGGGCCTTGCTAGTATGTCCTATGGAATGCACGGAAGGAATCTTCATCCATGCACATCTACAACATCTGATTTCAATAACATGTTTGTTGCATTCTTTGGGTATCTAGATAACTGATCATTCCTGGAGTCTCTTTGGACTGGAACTTTGAGTAAAAAAAAATGAAGATAAAAGAGGATAGAGTTGCATTTGAAGACACTTGCAATCCAATGCAATGTATAGGTTGATATCCATATATAAACTCTTTACACTATACTTGATGGCAAACCGTCTTGACAACAATGATAATCTTCACCAATAGTTTGAGAGGCTTCATCAGTTTTGTGACGGCAAACCCTGATATTGAGAGTTGCAGTACAAACCTTTTAATTTCACCACGGGTAACCCCTTGCTGCCAACTACCTGAAATGCTTCTCATAAATTTTAGGACTTCTCTTTCTATTGTATTTCTTCATTTTTATAATGATAGATACTGTTTTTTTTCCTCTATGGAGTAAGGATTTTGGGGCATAAAGGGAAAAACAATATTTTGCTTTAAATCCTCGTTATTCAACTTGAATGTAGAGGAGAGACATAAATGTGCACTAAACTTCTCTTCTACTAACTTCTTTGTTTGTTGTAGTTCTAAACTTCATTTCATAGGATTGGAAGAATGAGATTGTATAGTTCTCCTTGGGGAGGGTTCTCTCTACCCTCTGCCTTTAGGTTGTTCTCGCATTTTTAGGGCTCTTTTGATTTGAATGCATTCTCTATGTTTCTTATTAAAAAAAAACGTAGTTCTAAACTTCATAGCCTTTCCTACAGCTTCCTAATTTTCGCATGATATCATTGCTGAATGTTGAATGCGGATATATTACTAATAAACTACAATTAATGATTTTGTTTCATTTTGAGAGATTTGCTCTGCTTGCTTCCTTTACAAAAAGTAGAGACAATACTTCTGTTTTGGCAACTTTGCAGCAAAGCAATCTGCTTCTTACCATGGTGTGCGTCCAACAGCGGGTTAATGTGTCCTTATCCAATTTGTCTTTTTGTTTGCAGGTTTTATGCAGCAGAGGTTCTACTGGCACTCGAATATCTTCACATGCTTGGAGTTGTTTATAGGGACTTGAAACCAGAGAATGTACTGGTTCGTGATGATGGCCACATAATGCTCTCAGATTTCGACCTTTCACTAAGATGTGCAGTGTCACCCACCCTGATAAAGACCTCATACGATTCTGACCCATCAAAACGAGCTGCATTTTGTGTCCAGCCTGCTTGTATTGAGCCGTCATCAGTATGCATCCAACCTGCATGCTTTCTTCCTCGCCTCTTCCCTCAGAAAAGTAAAAAGAAAAGTCCCAAGCCTCGGAGTGAGTTGGGGTTGCAATCCAGTACACTTCCTGAGCTTGTAGCGGAGCCTACTGCTGCCCGATCCATGTCTTTTGTTGGCACCCATGAATACCTAGCCCCTGAAATAATTAAAGGAGAAGGTCATGGAAGTGCTGTTGATTGGTGGACTTTTGGCATTTTCTTGCATGAACTATTATATGGAAAAACCCCATTCAAGGGATCAGGAAACAGAGCCACACTATTCAATGTAGTAGGGCAGCAACTGAAGTTCCCAGAGTCTCCAGCAACTAGTTATGCTAGCCGAGATCTTATACGGGGTTTACTAGTAAAGGAGCCACAGCATCGGCTCGGAGTGAAGAGGGGTGCAACTGAGATCAAGCAGCATCCTTTCTTTGAAGGTGTCAATTGGGCTTTGATTCGATGCAGCACGCCCCCAGAAGTGCCAAGACCAATGGAGGCCGAGCTGCCTAAGTTTGGGGTAGTTGACACAACAGGGGTTGGCAGCAGCAGTAAGAGGATGGTAGGGACGGATGTTGTTAAAGCTGGTGGTCAATATCTTGATTTCGAGTTCTTTTAAATCTCGGATAGCAGGATAGTTTGCTGGAGTCGTAAAAGTAATTGCTTGTTAATGTTCAAAAGAGCTTCTCAGATTTATGTGTTCTTCCACTCCTGAATCCTCCCCATAGTGTCATAGTTAGATATTCCACTCTTAGAATTGGGACATTTGATATATTGAGTGTCTGAAGGAATCCACGAATTGGACGGTGTCTGATATTAACAAGTCATTAAGAGCCTGAAGCTGGCATTCTCAGCAGATCTTCGATTCGGAACACTGCAGTAAATTGCAATTCATGAACAATGTCTGCGTCATTTTGAATGAGAATCGTGGGTCAATAGCTAATTACAAATTCCACCCACAGATATCTGCTTTGTGGGTACAAGTCATAATTTAATTTTTAGGATGCTGAAAGATATAATTATCATATGGAATGGAGGAAACTAGCGAACATCCGAAAGTAGGCTTTGTGTAAATGTGAATCAATTGTTGGGGGTATTTGACTTGATCATTGAATTCGATGGAGTTGATGAAGCGGCAATATTATTAGTGTATTTATGGAATATTTTGACGACTATTTTTATATTGCAAATGGCTACAATATTAGTGGTAACTAAATTTTCAACAATTAGAAATAATATACGAAGTAACTACGAACATTCATGTGAGAAGGCCGCAAAATTTATGTAATATTTGAATACCACGTTTACAATTACAAATTTACAATGTTTGGAAATGGTCCTTTGTTGGTCAAATTTGTTTAAGATTTATTTTGGAACCGATGGGCAAGCACCTTTCCTAACAATAAAATATATGAATTTATTTGTGTAAATCTCATTTTCTTTGCTCGAAAACGTTTAAATAGATAATTCTATCTACTTTTTTGCATTGCAGGGAGAAACTTCCTAAGTTCCACATCTGGTCATGTGGAAATCACAATTTAAAAAAAAAATAAAAAATTACATTATAATCGCACGTTATTGTTCTCACATAAATTATTGTAATACAATAATATCATCCTTTTTCTTTATTCAATTTTTTTTTCTTTGCTCGAGTTGTTTGGGTGGTTTTGGTCTTGACTCTTTTAAATAAATTTAATTAGATTCTTTTTATTGTTTTGTCGTGGCCTCGTTACTTATGCCACAAAATTTAACATGACCAACTATTTAAAGAACAATACTTTTTTCTTCACCCGGCATCCACAATTTTTAATTGTCCACCAATAAGTCTGTGTTAAATTTTATTTTGAATCGCATCCTAACATTCCTCTGCTACCTTAACATGTTCCTACTTTTTTTTTCTAACGAGATTTTGAATACACAACTTTTTAGTTGGAAATTGTTCTTTATCAACATTAAAGCGGCATGTTTAAATTGTTTAATTTATAAAATAAAGAAAAATATTTATTTATAGTACTGTATTATTAACAATCATGGATTACATCTCACAAACAATTGACAATGAGAGTGTGTTAATCTAAATATACTCCAGACAATGAGAGTGTGTTAATCTAAATATACTCCAAAATGCAATAGAAACAAAGACACAGGGAACGGGTTACCTACTCTTAACGGTCAAAGCGAACCCTTTCATTCCGAATTCTTTAATTCGRAATGAATCAAATCTCCCCAAGTAGGATTCGAACCTACGACCAATMGGTTAACAGCCGACCGCTCTACCACTGAGCTACTGAGGAACAACGGGAAATTWGGTCTCATAGAATTCAATTCYCGTTCTCAACCCATGACCAATATGAGCTCGAGGTTTCGTTCGTAACTCCCAGAACTTCTTCGTAGTGGCTCCGTTCCATGCCTCATTTCATAGAGAACCTCAAAGTGGCTCTTTTTCATTATATTCCATCCATATCCCAATTCCATTCATTTAATATCAGTGTGGTGTCATTGAGATAAGAGATGTCGTTTGTAGTCTATCTGTTTCTATTTCTATATATATGGAAAGTTTAAAAATCATCATATCATATAATAATCCAGAAATTGCAATAGAAAAGAAAAAGGGGGGTTTGTGATGATTTTTAAATCATAAACCAGGGAATCAACTGGAATCTAATCAAACAATTAATGAAAAATCAAATTGAAACAACTTAAATCAAAATAATACTCTTTATTTTGAAATAAAATTTTGAAAGTAGATTTTGAAATTATTAAAATTTGGTTAAGGTAGATTTTGAAATTTATTGATGTATTTAAAATCTAAAATTTCTAGATAAGAAGGGATAAATATTATTATTTATAGGAAAATTTAAGAAAAACTAGCATCAACCTTATGATCTAGAGTTTGCACAGCCCCTCCTTTTTGCACTAGGAGCTCCCACGCTATCCCCATCTACAGCTCCCCACCCCTAATTTCATTTCCATGTACTGTCGTTGTCCGCCAGTCGTCGCCCGAAAGTTTCTGCTCGCACGATGTCCCATTTCGGCCACTTGCTGCTGGAACTTAGTTGCAACGCCGCTCGCCGCTAAGTTCCGCCTTACCCAAACCAATCTGTCGGTACGTCCGCCTGCCCGTCGTCCCATCGCTTTCTTGTCTAGCGTCCGTCGAGATCTACCGCTATGTTCTTGTTCGTCTACGACCATAGCCGATAGATCAGCTCGGTAAGTCCTCCTATCTTGACGTGACCTGCTACCATCGATCGTTGATCGACAATAACTGTCCATTGTCATCCGACTTCGTTTGTTGTACCTGCCGCGTCTTCAACAGCTATTTGAAGAAGGGAAGTCTAACCGTCTTTTTATCCTGATTTCGGGACTTTGAATCATGGAAAACAAACCAAGTAAAAGTTAAGTTTAAAATTTGTTTGATTGCAGTTCCGTATTTTGAGGATGTTAGTGGAAAGCTATGAAACAAGTCTGCCATTGTTCAAAACTGGAATTGGCACAATATCGCGAAGTGGCCGCCTTTGCTCAATTTGGGTCAGACCTTGATGCTGCGACTCAGGCATTACTCAATAGAGGTGCAAGGAAGGTTCTCTACCTTAGTAATGATAGGTGGTTGAGGTTATAGGGTCCTTGTCAAACTCAGTCCCAGGATCCACCACTGGTTGGATTTGAGAGCCGTGTGATAGGTGATTATCCATCACGGTTCGGAGAGCACTTTTAGCGTTGGTGAATAGAAGCCAACAATAGTCCCTCGGACTTGAAAAGTAATAACGAAAATGGCTAACCCAATAGTTGATAAAATAAAAAATAGACGTGAGATCGACCCGCGTATATAAAATGACGATACAAGTTGGAACGTACAGCTTGGTACTCTTATACCATATTAACACTTGAGTTTAAAGGAGAAACATTTTTGTAGTAGTGGTGGAGAAGGACAGGGGGCGGGCGGTGGAAGTGAGAGGCGTTAGGATTTAGGAGGAAGAGGAGCAGCTGCGAAAGCCTCGACTTCGCACATTTGATTTATAATTCTCAGACCCATTCAGCCCCTCACCCTTCGCCGCCTGCCCTCCCACTCCCCACTAATATCAAATACACTCCAACCAACCTAACGCCATCCAATTATTATTCCACGCATCCATTTTCTCATCTTATCCTACAAATATCCATGTAAATTTAATATCTTCATTTTTACTCTATCCTCTTCCATTTCAATTCCCCACGCAATTTCAATCAAAAACTAAATTTCTGGAGTTAATTAATTTCTTATTATATTTTTTAAAATTATCTTGTAATTAGAATAAAACTTCATTCTCACATCTTTATCAAAATAACACACTTTTATTTTGAATGTGTTTCATTAGGTCGTACGACAACAAATTTATGGATTATGATCCTCGATTATGACTTTTCTTTTTTTTTTTTGAAAAATTAGACATGTGTTTTTATTACTTTTGTAACGGTTGAAGCTTTCATTTCTACCACTGTTTGTTGAACTCAATTTTTTTTAATGCTTATGGTTTGATTAGGAATTTTGGGACACGAGTGATTGACAAAATATACAATTTTAATATTAATTGGGTGGTTTTAATTTAATCAGGAGGAAGTTTCCGTTTTTGTAGTTTATTTGCTAAAGCTACCATACCTGACACAAGTTTTTTGTCTGTCTCTCACACAATGTGGAAGTGGAAGAGTCGTTTCAAAAAAATTAAAAAAAAAAAGACATTAGTTTAGGCATGGCTTTCGAATATATATATATAGTAAGCGAATATGTACATAAGTTATATACAAACAAAATATAACAACAATAATAATATAATCATTTTTCTTAACTTTGAGAAGCCGAAGTCAAAATTCAAGGTTAGAAACTTTGAAAACGTGTTAGCCTTAGCCCTAATTCTTTGAAGTTTGAATCACCATTGACTCCTACCCTTGTTATTTCCCCATTCTTTCATTTCTTTTTTAAAAAACTCATGGGTTAAATTAATTAATAATACGGTCTCTCCTTCTTTTTTAGAGAATTACAACGAGAAAGTTAAACCGTCTTTTAAATACTCTCCAAGAAAATTTTCTGACTTCCATCGCGAAGTATGTGCAATCTCATTCCCTTTGGTATAAAATTATGAGATAGAAAAAGAAAAAAAAAACATAAGAAAAAAAGAATATAGACATAATATTTAAAAAAAAAAAAAAGGAACGGCGTGATATGATATGATAGAGAAATGGTGCATTTTGTTCACGTTTTTATTATACGTTGGTTCGCAGAAGCAGGGTAATTTAAAATTGGTATATAAAGACTAAAGAGTATATATAGAAAGTAAGGATTAGGAATAAAAGCGCGACTGAGACTGAGACTCACCCGAAAGATCAAAAAGAAGATTGAAGAATATGTCGTCGGGGGATTGGGATTTGTTGGAGTGGATCCGTGAACATCTTCTGGAGGAGAAAATGGATCCGGATCCGGATCCAGCTGCATCAAATGCAAATGCAAATGCAAATGCTAATTCTAATTCGGAGGTGGGAGGGAAAGGGAGTGAATTGGGAGTTGGAGTGCAGCAGTTCAAGGGAGTGAGGCGGAGGCCATGGGGCAAATACGCGGCGGAGATCAGAGACCCAAACAGAAAGGGGGCCAGAACCTGGCTGGGCACCTTCCACACCGCCGAGGATGCAGCATTGGCTTACGATCGAGCGGCTTTCAAGATGCGAGGAGCCAAGGCCAAGCTCAACTTTCCTCATCTCATTGATTCTAATTCCCAACCCCAATCCCTCGCTTGTAATACTAATAAGCGCCCCAGATTCCCCACCCATCAAACTTCAACTTCCCAACGCCGCTGAATTCAACCCCAGCACACAACAATAATCCACTTGTTTCTCTTCTTTCTTAGCACTTCAATGCAAATTCCATTTCGAGGGGAGATCGTATCTCATTATGCATTATGCATTATGCAATGTGAATCAAATATGTTTTACTTTTTTGAAGAAGAAGATTAAAAAGTATCTGAATCAAATCAGGCATTACCTTGATCTTGTAAGGAACACGTGCTAGCACGATTATTAATCTAATTAAAATATTTACATATGTGGGTCAATTCACGTTGAATCCAACCCGTGTGTCTGCAAAAAAACGACCCAAATCAAAGTAAAAATTCTACCATGCGGTGGGGAATTATTCAACGAGTCACTAGCTAACATGGGTGCCTAATTTGGTTTCATTATTTCTGTAAGAGTGTTTTTTAGAATGATTTTGGTAGCTTGTCAAAATCATTTTCTTTTTCATTAATCATATTTGACAAATTAAAAAATTGATTTAAAGAACGCTTAAAACTATTCTAAATTGATTTTCAAAGCTATCCCTTTAAATCTTTTTTTTCAACAATCATTCATTCCACGCACCCAAAATAATCAATGTCCAAATTATGACCACGATATCCTCCACAACCATACACCATTTGTTTTTGTTAGAGTCTAAGAAGCATGGACACTCCATTTTAGGTCGAGTGTCCGTGTCGGACACGGATACATCTGGGCACACTCTGGACACGTGTCCAACACGCCATCTTACGTGTCCTCTTTATTTTTGTTTTAATTCGGACACATCTTAGACACGTATTGGACACTCTGGTTAAAATTTTAAACCAAAAAATAGACAAGAAAAATATTAAAAACTAAAAAACTAAAAGGGAAAAAACCCTAAATCTCCGGCCTGTCGTGAAGGAGCTGAAGCATGAAGACAAAGTTGAAGGCATTGCCACCACTGATAGCCTTTACTCACAAAGAACAAGAATTGCAGAAGAAGACTAGTATGGGAGAAGACAGAGTTTCGAAGAAAAAATGGAAAGAAGAATTGGAAGAGGAGAAGAAGAAGAGTTGGAAAGAGAAAAGTAAGTAGAGAAGAAATATAAAAAAAGGAAATTTGATAAGAAAAAAAGGGAGAAGAACAGACAGAGGATGGAGAATAGTCTCTACACTTATTTCTAGTTGCATGAAACCTCACTTGTGGTTCGTTGCATAAAGCTGTCAAATGACAATCTACCTGTTGCATGAAGCTGCCAGTAGTATTTTTCCTTCTATAAATACAAATGTATTAATTACAAACTTTAATGGTAATTTAACCAAGCCGAATTTTTCTAAATTACAAGAGTTGTTTTTTTAAATATTAAATAGTTTTATAATATTTCTATACTTTTAGAATGTAGACACCAATATATACACATTATCTTTTTTTTTAAAATAACATGTCCTTGTCGTGTGCTCGTGTCGTATCCATGTCATGTGTCCATGTCCATGCGTCTTAGGTTAGAGTTATCGAAGAAGTAAATAAATTTCAAGCCAAGTCCAAATCCATCACACCGCAAATTTATAACAAAGTAACATGAGGTAGGTTTGAATCCTCTCTCAATAGCCTGCAAGCGTTACCACGATGGCAAACAACTACTAAAAAACACCATTCCACCATGCATATATCCAGCCATTGATTAAACAGATACTATTGTCTTTTAACTTAACATCAGCAAAAAGCTTGGTAGCATCAACCATTAAAAAGAGATGAAAAACAAAGGGCTGGACGGGATGGGATAGTTGGACAGGATTGATTTTCTCACTCGTAGATCCAGGAATGAAGGCTGCTCTGCCAGCTAACAGGACCCTCCGGGAACCAAAGAGCAATTTCCTTCCTCGCACTCTCCACCGAATCACTTCCATGAATGATGTTCCTGAAAGAGAAGTGATAACAGACAACCAACATTTCAGTTAACCCATACACCACTTCCCATCATCAACTTCTATAAACCATTCACTCAAATAATTACCTCCCAACATCAATTGCAAAGTCACCACGGATGGTTCCTACGTCAGATTCTACTGGCTTCGTGGCTCCAATGATCTTCCTACCAGTTGCCACAACATTCTTCCCCTCCCAGATCATGGCCACAACGGGGCCAGAAATTATGTACTCAATCAACCCATTGAAAAAGGGCTTTCCAGCAAGATCAGCGTAATGGTTCTCAGCAAAAGCACGGTCCACAGACATAAACTTCAAGCCTAAGTCACACCATGTCGTTAAAAAATCAGTAACATTTTATATTGATACTTAAGAAATCTACTGCTGTAGACAGATGGTAAAGAAACTAAGATTCTGTCAAGCTCAAACTCAAGGAAGTAGAAGGGCGACATCAGAATCAGAAGAAACTTGTGTAAACGAGATCAAGTAGGGGAAGAGCTGAATTCGGCTCCAATTTTTATCTACCGTAAAGCAAGAAAAATTAGGAAAACCCAAGTCAAGAAGTTTAAATCAGTACATAAGAAAGTGACGCTGACACATAACGGAAAATTCAAAAAGTTCTCAGAGAGTAATTACCTTTAAGAGAAAAGCCCTTCTTCTCAAACCTACTGATAATCTCTCCAACCTGGAAAGGAAAAAAAAAAGATGACAAATGTATTGAAGTAAGAATATAAATCAATTCGTGATCTACAAATCTACCACAACTGAGAGTACTCCTCAAGTTAATTAGACTAACTTTAAAGAAAATGGAACATCCCAGTCATAATAGAGAAGAGAAACATCCAACTTTAGTATCAAATGGAAAAGGCTATAGACACAAAGGAAAAAGGATGAAATATAGAAGAAAGTAATGGGAGATACCAGGCCTCTTTGGACTCCATCGGGCTTGATCATGATAAAACTCTGCTCCATTTTTTGGGACCGGCGTTCTGCTTCTCTTAGAACAGTTTAGAAGCCGTGGCCGTGGTTGTAGCTATGGTGTGGGCACATAAAAGGGATTTTATAGGTGGATTCGGTGTCGCGTAACCCTAGCCGTCTTGGAAGGAAATGTCCTTCCACATTATATGATTTTTGTTGGGTATTGGCAAGACTAACCTAATTTTGAGGGTATAAATGAGATTTTACTCATTTTTTAAAAATTTATTATTCTAATTTTTGTACAGCAAATTATTTTTCGTGCTCCTTGTTACAACAACAGTGGTAACAATAGTCAACGATATTAAACAAAAATAAAATAAAATTCACCCAGCAAAAATAGGCAAGAAATTTAAGAATAAAATTTTGGGATTATGAGTTGGGAAAAAAATATTAACCCAAGAGAAAACGAAAGGGCAAAAACAATGAAGACGGGAAAAAGGGGCAAAATGTAAATTCATATAAGGATGCCAGAGCTAAAAGTCAGAATAATGAATTTTTCCTTCAGAGATGGACATATCTCATTGACACACTAAAATTTAGGTCTATCTCATCTAATTTCCTCATTTTTATCCGTGTATATATATATATATTTTTTTTTTGCAAACCAAGTTAAATCGTTGCTTCCTTTCAAAATTTTTTTTTTTCAAATCTCACCACTATTTCTAAACTTACAGCTGTACTGAAGGATGCTGTTTTTATTTTTGCAAAGATTAGATATATCGCAAGAAAAGAGAATCTCACAATCTTAGATAAAAGCACGACAAGATGAACAAGATGTTATCTAAAAAAATATATAATAGAATACAAATATTAGTATGAACAAAATGTAAGATAACCGAAGTCAAACTATAGACACCACCATAAATTTTGGAATCACATTCTTGTAGCCTAAGCAAGCTTCCATAACCTTCATCTTATCAATATTTATACAGTTCCATCTCAAAATCAATCAACAATGATAGGAGTAGTTCATGTCTATTATAAACATTTGTAAGCTGGTTCCTTTTCTTTTAAATGTGGGATCCTTAACACATTTAGATGATCGACCTCTACTAATACGATATGTCTATTGACCTCAACTAATACAACAGGATCTATTATAACCCTGTATCCCAAAGGTCAAATATAGTAGGAAGAGTTTGCTGAATCAATCAATGTTTAGTATTCAATTTTAAAATCTAAATTTCACTATAGTTGAATAGATAAAACGTCACGAACAACTATCCCAAACACAGATAATTCTATTCATCATGTATTGAACAAATGATTCTCCTTTCATTAATTATGTCAATTTTCCTTTTTATATTCTCTAATAAACTCGGCATTCATAATATTAGATGATATAGGATGAATAATAATATATTAGTTTATGTGTATTCATTTGATTAGTTTATATTAGTTAAGTTGTTAATTAGTTCTATTAATTTGAATAGTATTTTAGAGTTAATTAGCTATTTATAAACAATAAAAAGAATGTAATGGAGTTATCATTTCAATTAAATAAGGAAAAAAAAGAAGGATATTTTTATATTTTAGGAAATGAGATGCCATATATTTGAAGAATGATTGAAAAATTTAAAGTGAAAGCCACATTTTGATTCTATTCCTTTGATTTGGCAAGCACGTGAAAGAGAAAGAGAATAGAATATTTGTTCCTAATTCTTTGTTTCCATATTCCCTTTATGAATTGTATACTTGTGTTTGGTGTCGAAATAAGGGGAGTGAAAATGTGAAAAGTGAAATTGGGATGCCATCAGACCTAAAATTCTTGGTGGAGATGGTTTTCGAGGTTGCCAACAAGTGGGCGGAGGTGCAGGTGTGTGTTGTTTGAACGCTTTATGTTTGATTCCACAATCCACAACCCAGTAGTAAAGTTAAAGTAAAAGGTCGGAATGTGGATGTAATGGGTTGGGCTGGTCTGGGCCTGGTGGTGGCCCAACTGCCACACCCACCATTCAAATTCTCGATCCAAATCAAAATGGACTACTTTAATTTTAATTAGAGAGAATCCATCTCATCTCATCTCATCTCTAAATAAAATAAAATACATGCAGGCTCAGGCTGCAGCAGCGATATTTTTATCTCAAAAAAGAAAAAGGAAGATATACAAGCAAAGCAAAGCAAAGCAAAGATAAATAAATTTATATATAAAATTGTGGGTAGAAGTAGAACTTGGAAGGGGTTCAGTTTTGGTAGTCAGAAAGATGTAAAGGGTTCGTGCTCGGAAGAATTGGAGTCGTCGCAAGGGGAGTGGTTGTGTCTACCTTCGTACGTGGTAATCACCATCCGGCAATCCTCCGACAGTCGCTCCACCCTCTTCTTCACTCGACAGTTGCTATGCGTACAACGGTAGTAGCTTCTGCGCTTATTTATAACATAACAATTATTACTAATTAATTCTATATCGTCATCGATGATCATCTGCATGATTATTTGAATTGGCATCCCTGAGATTTACAGATTACGCGCTACACTACAACCAGAAGGAGAAGCATAGGAAACAAACAAAGATATGCATGTTGTGTGTTGTATGCTGCAGACCAAAAGTAGTCAAACACACAGAAAAATGCGTATGACTGGTAGTTCGTCCTTCTTCGCCCACACCTAGCTATAACCAAAACCCCAAATGAATAATAATGATGGCCCTGCTCTCTCTCACACACAATATAAAAACACAATCATTCTCATCTGAATCCCAACCCCAACCCCCCGCTTTCTCTCTCTCTCTCCCTACATTGTACATAAATATAATGTTGTATATGCAACTGCAACCTAACTTAATCTCAATCTGCACATCTCCAGTCTCCCCAATATTAATTATATCTTTGCCTCGTTAAACTGCCAGCTAATCATATAGAAACAAAATTCATGCACAAATATGTACATTAAAAGGTACGGTATTGCTTGCTGCACTGCATGGCAGTGGCACTGGCAGCGATGTGTGTGTTGTGAGCTAACTATTAATAGATTGATTAATTTAATTAATTAACGTCACCATGATGATGATGATGATGAAAATATATATATAAATTAAATACACACACGTACGTACCTAGGGTGAAGGCTGTTCTTGACGACTTTTTGGCCATATTTTCTCCATTTATACCCATCATCCAGCACATCTACATCGCTTCTCGTCTGGAAACAGAACCGTGGCTCTCTCAGCTTTCTCCTCACCTTCACTTTACTCTTATCTGCGCTCGAGTTTCTCCACCTGCCATTCAATTTAATCATCCATTTTTCAACTCCCAATTCCCAATTCCTTTCCTTTTACTGTACTACTCTGATCTCTCTCCACATTATGAAATATATTCCCCCATCTAATTATTTTACATTTGAAATTTCTTACCCAGCTTTTTGTGCCTATCCCTCCGCCGTTGCTTTGCGCACCATCAAAAACCAACTCAACCCCGCCCCTATCCCGTCTATCCTAATTTTCATATATATAGTATTATTATTTGTAATTATTATTCTTAGGATCGCACGATGAAAAATTGAATTATTATATGTGGTGGGTTGGTGTTGGATTTAACTGAATCTGATCTGAGAATATAATCTGGAAATTAATAGGGTAATAGCGTAGGTACGGTGTAGAAAGAGAGAAAGAAATGAAGAAACGTGAAAAGGAGAAGGGAAGTGGTGTATACGTATACCATGAATTGCTCCCATCACTGGCGCTACCAGTGCAGTTTTCGTCGTTGGCCGCCTTTGGATCCAGCGCTCCCACCTGAATCCAAACAATATAATTAAGATCCATCCATCCTCATCCACCTACATCACTACACACATGTAATTAAGTAATGAAAATGAATTAATCAAGCACCTGCTCGTTGCTCCAAGAAGGTCTACTGAGGAGCTGCGTGGTGAAGGCAGCGGCAGGCATGGCGGCGGTGGATGTAGCCCCAGTGGCGCCGTTAACGTTACTGGGTGCCAGGAAGCTCAACACCTGGCTATGGCTATGATCTTCGAACTGCACAAACCCCATTTCGTGGATGGATTGCGGATGCGGTGCATTTGATGAGACGAAGGAGACTGCAACTTCATAATTGGGAACCCCTGATCCTTCTGATCCTTCCATTCTTTCTTTCGGAATATGATTGAAATAAGGAAAGAGAAATTTAAAGATCCCTTCCCTTACCCTCCTCTTGGTTTTTTAGGGCACTTCCTCTCGTGTCTCGTGTCTCACCCTTCTGTTGGGGTCAACGAGTAAATGCTAAAAGGAATGTTTTCCTTTTCAATTATATATTCTTCTCTTTCTTCCCCCGACACTTTCCTATATAATAATAATATATAATATTAGCCTCTTGGAAGTTGTAATTCTTAGTTACCATTAAATTTACTCAACTGATATAACTAATCACCTCAAACTTTTGGATGCATTAATATTGGTGGTATATAGATATTAGTTTTTTTTCTTTTTTTCTTTTTTTCTTTTTGAAATCCAAATAGATATTAGATTGGAACCCTAGCTATACTCTATGTTATTACCAGTACTGTAGCAGGTATATATATTATGTTTGTGTGTGTGGAACTAGATGTTTAATTATAGATACAAGTATCTTCATTGATTTGTACAGTACAATTATGTACATCTTGAAAACAAGGCCATAAACTTCCATAGTTGCACTGCCCATTAAAACAGAGTCATATATGCCAGCTGCGTCATTATGCGGGTCTACGCCACTTCTTTTGTTCGTACTCTAAAAGCTATTGAAAATATTCGAATCTTCTTTTTCTTATTTTTTCCTCATTTAACCATTCATCCACACCCTACATGATTTTCACTTCTACACACTGTTTTTTATCCTACTTTAACTAAAAACTAAACCTCTCAACTTTTTGTCCCCTCCCATGATTTGTTCTTTCTTTTTCTTTTTACATATTAATGTTATCTAACTCTAGTTTATTCCCTAAGTTATCATTTATTACTTTCATTGAATTCAACTCATTCATTTTCACATATCCTTTAATAATGGTTACTTTAAATTATACACGTACGTCTAAGCAATTTTATTATTTATTTTAATCTTAGCGTTTTTTTACTCCATTAACAAAATAAGTTTTCTAAATGTCATATTTTATCTTCGGTACAATATTTTGAACTCCACCCATACATTAGGGTCATGAATATGATGATGTAATTAATCCCTTAATAATCAACAATAAGTGTCATATAATTAAGAAGAGTATGTTTTAGGTAATCTAGTACTAGAAGGGACACAAGGCCACCTATTACAGAGGTTGGGATCTATTCTTTTTCCCCAACTAACTCATTTTTATTTTAAAAGATAACATCAATAATTATGACGCCCATCTCTCTACCTAGTTATCTTATTTTCCCCATATTTAAGTCACTATAATGACGTAATTCTGATTCTTTTAAGAATAATAATCTTGTTCCGTGATATATATGTTTTTAATCCATGATATTGGTTGATCTTTAACTTAATGATCTGGTTAAGGATTGGGCAACTAATTTAAACTAGTTTTATATGTATATAAAAGAATATCGAGCAAACAGTTCCAATGAATTAGGTTTTTTCTTTAATAAATTTTGATGTCACATCTTCAGAAGTTGTGAAATAAAATATTTTTCTTTCAATGCTTTCAATTTCATTTTTATTTTGATTGGTAAAAATAAAAGATAACATTTTTTTAATGAAATGTTATTCTTAATTATCGATGTATAGTAAAATATTTTTTTTAAGTAGAACCAATGTGTGTTAGATTTAAACCACCTACAATTTAAGAGAAAAAATAGATGTATTAATTTATTGTTGAGTTATGCTTGTAAAAAACGGTTGTTGTTATTTTATTGAAAAAATATAGGTATATAAAATGGAATACGAAGTTGCAGTAATTAATGAGAATATATAATGAAGGTGCATTTCTTTAATCTCGATGTGATGACATCTGGCGGTGCAGTGATCATAGAGGTCGATCACAGCCGTCTGATCCTCAGACGAAAATCTTGGTCCATTATTGGAGGTTTGATTCTTGAAGAAAAAAAGAAAAAGAAAAAGAAAAGGGAGATGAATATATAATGGTAAATTTGAAAGAGTGATAATATTAAATAAGTGCTTTATGGTAAGCGATGCAAAGGTATGGCAATTGCCAACTGAAAGGAACACCAAGTGTCAAATGTGTGCGTACTTGGGCTTCATCATCGATGCTTTGACCCTAAGTGGGTTGCTTAGCTTGATTATATTGTTGTCTTCTTCTAACACTTCCTTCACGCCCACAGCATCACATAAAATTAATTAATATACATATAAAGTTTCTGAATTGAATACAGTAATTTGTTTCGTCATTAATCACTCAGATTCATGAACTTCATTTATGTTTTTGTAACCTGATTGAAAACCTCACAAAATTGGTGTTCTTTAAAAGCACTATTAATTTAGTTATTAACATTATCATATAATAAAGGAGTAAGCAGGAAATGTGTGACTATATTATTGTGAGATGTGAAATGAAAAAATGGTGAATGAATCAGAAAAAAAGGAAGAGAGTGATAGGGTGGGCGTTGGTTTATTATATAATTAGCATTATATTGGAATTTAGAGGTAAGTAGTAAGGTAGAGAGGGAGAGAGAGAGGGAATTGAAGAAGTAGAAGTCTTAAGAGCAATGAGTGGTTGGGGGTTACATCAAAGCTTCCATCCATGTCGGGATGTCTAGGGCTGGGCTGGGCTGGGCTGTAGATGAGCGAATGAAAATGATGAAATCCTGCCAAATCAAATTCCATCAATTTTGCATGTGTCCACTACTCTCACCCAGGCCGAGGCCATCCTGCAAACTGCAAATTAAAACCCTTTCTTTTATTTTCTTTTCTTTTTTCCCGAATCAATTTATTCTAAATATCATTAACACCCACTCCCCGCCCATCTCCATGAAAAGGGCCCCCCAACTTCCCCCACGACCAACTTACAACTCTCTCCCCAACCACACCCACGCCTAGCTCCAAATTCCAAAACCCCTCGGTTTGTAATTGGTAATAAATGAAAAACGAAATCCGATGGGGTTGTGTTAGTGTAAGTAAAAAGTATAATTAGAAGAAAGGAAGGAGGATATCGGAGCGGGAGATGGAAGAAAAGATTCGTCCAGAGCCGGTCCCGGTGGATATATCACGAGAGGGGTGAGGGGTGAGGGGCCTCCTTGAGTTGCAATATGAATATATATAATCAGAGCGCGGATTGGGGCAACCCAAAAACCCTGCCTTTCTCACTTCTCACCAACACACACATCCATCGTCATTTTTCTGTTTCTTGTTTAGGCCTCACCAAACATTTTCCTTCCAAGTTAAATTATTCTCTCTCTCATGTGTCCTGCTCTGCTGGTAAAAGGAAACGACGTTACGTTTTTGTTTTCATGATTTCTGGATTCAAAATTCAAAAGGGTTACTATTTGAAAGAGGAGTTGGAATGTGAATATGAATGTAGTGTGTGTTTGCTGGGAATTCCATGCAGCAATGATTACCTCTTTCAATCAAATTCTAAAATCCCATGATGATAGAGTGAGGCACCACATCTTTGGTGGAACCCACCGCGTGTCTCCAAATCTTCTCTCTCTCTTCTCTTTTTCTTGAGCACTAAAAATATAATTAAAAGGACTAGTTAATCAGCCTTTTTTTTGGTTAACCCAAATTTAGCACCCTAATTCTGCAACCACACTCACTTAACCATGCATCTTCAGCCCAGACTGCCCGTTATTGTATTATTCTATGCTATTGCGAAACACGACAACGCAGGACTGTTGTGTTTTACTCTCATATATGTGTCATTTCTTCGCTCTACCTAGCTTCATCCACCATTCTTTCAATTTGAATATTATTCTCCCCTCCCCAGCTGCACTCCTCTACTCTAGCTATATTTCTATTTATTCCATTATGCATCAACCTCGGCATCCTTTTTCATTTAAGAGATCTCGTACTCATATTATGAATCATTTCATTCTCTTATCAACATCAGACTTTATCTCATTGCATTTCTTATCGTCTTAACAATGAGACAAAATAATCGTATTGACATGGGGTTAATGTTCCAAACAAAACTTGTTCCACTTCTAGTAACTTTGCAAAGTAATTATTGACATGAATAAATAAATTTTTTTAACCTTTCAAAATACACCGCTGCGCTATCCTATGTTTTATCAATGACTCATTAATTAGTGATAAAGGTTATTTGAATATATATAATATTATGTATAATTAACACCCAATTAAATGAATTTAAAGAAAGGGTACCAATATAACACAAATACTGGAGAGTACAATTTTAATTTAAAAAAAAAACTGTGTAAGATACCATTGAACCCTCTCAATCACAACATTGCTTGATTTGAAAATGGTTGTCATAATTAAAAAGCCAGATACACCGGACTCCAATTCATCTTTTATGTAACTTAAGAAAATATGCATCACTTTTTATTGTTGATCAAGTTCAACAGTGGTAGGTCCTTTAATCTAAAACAGTATTAATTTTTTTTCCCATGTTCTTTGTAGTTTGTACCGTATTTTGATAGGTTTGAACATAAATGAATTAAAGCGAGGTCATTTAGACGGTTATATCTCAATTTTTTAATTGGCAAATAATTATTGGAGTTATATAGATAATAAATAATTAGAGTTAATTAATATAACCTCAATTTCCACAGCCAAAATAATTAATATTTTTTTTGTCCCTAAAAAAATATTCCTGACTAGTAATTATATCAGAAAAAAATTGTAATTTTGTGCAACAAAACCTAATCTCATGCTGGAGGCTTCTAGGAAAACCTTTAATATCTTGAAAGTTGAGAATATTTTTAGATTTGAGAGAGCAATTTTGTGCTAATGAAAACGTATTCAGTTATATTTATAGCTTGGAGAAAATTTCATCGGTACCCCATTAGCTACCTCAACAATCAATATTAGTAGTTTTAGAAAATATTTACAAAAAAGAAAAAAAAAATCAGAAATCAAAATATTGAAAGAAACTATTGTAAATTCTACCATCCACTTTGTTAATTAAAATTTTACTTTTTTGGATTTACAGCGCACCAGAACACGAAAAATCTGATTTTATTTATTTAAAAAATGGTAGGTTGCAGAAATTGAAGTTTGGGCCTTATTAGCGTGGCCTTTCTCCAGTGGGCCTCGTTGGTATGAACCCCAATTCATAATCATCTCCTAATGTTCTGTTCTGTTGCATTGCGTTGCAGAAGACGAAGAGAACCCAGGGAAATTCGCAGAGCAGAGGGTGCCGGAAAAATGTCCGCTCGCTTGCTCAAAAAGGTTTTGAAGGAGCAGGAGGAGCTCGAGCTACGACACCACTCTTCTCACCACTCTTCTACGAGTCAAGATGGACGAGATTCTCCCCCATCTCAGGATGATGCATCTGAGTCCCCTACTGCCTCTTCTATAAATCCCTTCCACCTCCTTGACGATCAAGAAGATGACCCCCCAAAACAGGTTTGCTATTTCATTCCTTCATCCAGACTTTCCTCAACTCCAACCTTATGGTTAACCTCATCTTCTTTACTATTCAACCATCATTTCTTCCTTTTTCTCTTATTTTTTTCTCTCTGTCCATACACTCTGGACTTTTCGAATGCATGGACTCTAATTTAGCTAATTATGGTGGGAAAAAGCAACTGGAGTTTTCTCAATTTCTACAGAAGTTCCAATTTGGTCATTTCGTTAAGTAAGACTATAATTTTTTAACCTATTTCTTCAACATTGAAATTTGATATTTTAATGGTTCCCTATCCTTTTATATGAATCTAATTTTAAACGTACGAATAGTCTATGTTTTTACCATATAATAGTGTTATATATTAGGCATTGTATGCATATTCATAAGTTTATGCCTCTTCGAAAGCACGCTTTCAAAATGATTTTTGTTTTTGAATTAATCATAGTTATGTAACTTAGACTAAAAAAGGATTTTGGGAGAGAAGAGAGATCAGAGTTGTATAAAATGGATGACCCCGCAGTTATGAGATTCAATTCTCCATATTGTTGAACTGCGTTGATCAAACATGGGGTTAGTGGAGGCTTAATGGGAAGGTTCCTTGTAAGGACAAATGAGGTTCATATCTATGGAATTCTTTTAGTAGATGTCACATTTGTGAGAATGAAAAGGAAGGCTACATGACATTTTCTTAGTGTTCAAAGTCTTTAAGATTTCGTACAGCCTAGGAAGATTCCTATTTGTGGACTTAGCATACTAAGCAACGTGGATCAAGCGTTGCTGTAGAGGTGGGTTGTAAATCAGCAAAGCTTGCACATATTCTCTGTCCTAATTGGACATTGCTGTTGGGAGACAACCCAAAGAAGCTTGGGTTTTCGAAAGTTGTGGAGGAAAAGGTTTTATGCAAGCTTGACTAGTGGAGTAAATTTTGTTGATCCAAAAGTAGAAGATTAAGTTTGTATGAAGTCATCCTACTCCTAGCACACCTAGCTACTTTATGTCTATCTTCAGTATTCCAAGGAAAATTGCAATAGTATTGAAGAGGAAGATGAACTTCTTGTGGGATGGTTATCTATAAGGGATGCTTAGCCACCTCTTGAGTTGGAGGAAGGTGGTGTTCTTGCCCCTAGAAGATGTGGGAAGGCAAATGACAACTAACTTTATTGGTGATAGTTCTACTCCCAACAGATTATATATATGGGTATTTTTAATAGATAGCAAAAATATTTGTCATATTTGTAAATATAGGAACAACTTTTTGGTTTTGCAAATATGACAAAATTTTTAAAATTAGATTTTCATTTTTTATTTATTCTGATTTTTCCTTCTTGGTATATCAATTATATCATTGATATACCTATGAAATATATTAGTCATACTTAATATATAAATTATGTACTTTATATTAAGTATATCATTGATAAATCTTCTTCGGTTGGAGATTTTGGTTTAAGTAATTCTGTAGGTTTCTTACTAATGTATCAAGTATATCGATGTACTTAGGTGTAGGATTAGTAAACAAATTTACTTTTTATCGTTACTGATTAGTAAACAAATAGATTCTTCCTCACATCACTAATATCCCCATGGTAGTAATCTTCCTTAGTTTTGCTGTTCCTTTTTTCTTCCTTAGTTTAGCTGTTCCTTTTTTCTTTCTTTTTATCAGTTATCATTAAGTCTTATGAAGTAGACTATGGACTATAGAGTGCTTTCATTAAATGTAAGCAAATTTTTTTTGTCCAATTGACTGTGTAATTTTACTACAGGACAATGATCAAGAGGCCGTGGATGAAATTTCTGCGGACTTGCATAAGCAGTTTGTGCATAATGGAACTAGAAGTGCAATTTCAACATCTAATAAAAAATTGAAGAAAAAGAAAAAGAAGAAAGAGCGGGAGAAGTCTTCTTCCACCRGAGATAAAATCCTTGATAAGCCCTTGGATATGATTCTAGAATCTCTGTCTCTGGATGTTAACACCTCTGCTTTAAGCCTTCAACATGGCCCTGAGAAAGCCAAGAATGGTGTTGACGAAAGGAATCGTGGAAAGCAATGTCTACCTTCATTGTTAGAAGTGGATCCTAAATATTTAAATGCTGGGAATGAACTTCGAAGAATATTTGGTTCTAAGGTGGTAAAATCATTTGAAAGAAATCATCAGGCTAGTAGTTCCAGACAAGTACGTGGGGGAAGACGTGTCAACCATCTTGCTAGGAAGACCTATCTTGTTAGTCCATCAGACCATTGGCCCCGTTTGGATGGTTCACTTTCCATGGAGTTTTTGGATACAAGGGATGGATATCACTATTTTAGGTAAATTTCATTTTCATTTTATCTTATATTTTTTCCCCTCAGCACCCCTAAGTATACAAACTGAATATAGGTAACATTAAAATTGAATGGTAGGACAGAGTAAATGTGTCATCCTGCTAGGAGATGATGAATGGTTTGTCCTGCAACATATATTACCTGAATATTATATATAAGTAAATATTTAAAGCTTGCTTTTGCCGGTTGGAGATTCAATAACCTTGTACAGGCTGAAGTTCAATTTTATGAATTATATTGCCTCTTCTTGTCCGAGACATGAAGAAGAGACCTAGAAATTTTGATTGAAACTTCGAGATTTATATCCTAAATAGTTCTACTACTTCTAACAGCTCATCTCTGCATAGCATTCATGACATCCTACATTGGCTGAATAAAGATGAATCTTGCGCATTGCAGTGCTTCCATGGTCACTGCCACTCCAATGAAGTTTCTCATGTTCAATACTGTTGATCATATTTTCTTTTCATCTTCATTTTTTCCTTGCTATTTCAATTTGTAGTTAGTGTGGACCCTTGGTTTTTCATCTTTTTTAACATTCTTTAATTAGTTTTTCTATAAATTAGCTCCACCTATAAATGTAATGTCTATTTCATCTGGGGTTTGGATTATAACGTGCAATTGCTTCCAGATATGTACACCTGCCATCCTATGTTGAAGCTCAGAGAGGATTTGAGGCTGCCAAATCTATTCATGATCTCAATGGCATTGCTAGTATTCTGTTGTACCACCCATATCACTTGGATTCACTTATAACGATGACAGAGTATTTTAAATTTGTGGGCGACCATGAAATGTCAGCAGATGCAGTTGCAAAGAGTTTATATGCCTTGGAATGTGCATGGCATCCTATGTTTACTGTCTTACAGGGTAATTGCCAGTTGAAGATCAGCCATGAAACGAACAAGCCGATGTTTACATCACTTTTTACTCACGTAAAAAACTTGGATAGGCGTGGTTGTCATCGATCTGCCTTAGAAGTTTGCAAACTATTACTTTCACTGGACTCTGATGACCCAATGGGGTCTCTCTTCTTCATTGATTACTTATCTTTGAGGGCAGAAGAATACACATGGCTGGAGAAGTTCGCTGAGAGCTATAAAAATGATACTTCATTGTGGTTGTTTCCAAACTTCTCCTTTTCCCTTTCCATAAGTCGATTTTATCTTGAGCGTGAAGAACCGTTAAAGACTGATAATCTTGATTGTACAAGAGCTAATTCAACAGATCTTCTGAAGCAGGCGTTAATGCTTCACCCTTTGGTCTTGAAGAGATTAGTGGAAAAGGTGCCACTGAAGGAACAGTTTTGGGTGCATATACTCAAGCATTCCTTCTTCCTGCCAGATCAGACCGGAATTCCATCCTTGGATCACCTCATTAATTTATACGTCGAGAGGAATTACATTATATGGAGAATCCCAGATCTACAAAAGTTACTCAGAGAGACTGCACAATTGATAATTGAAACCCTGGAAACTGATCGAAACGATGCCAAAGACTGGGCTTGTGTGAGAAGAGAAGCATTCACATCCGAGAAAAATGAGTGAGTGTTTTTTTTTTAATTGTTGATTATAAGATTAATCCAGATATCAAGCTTTTGGCCACTGTCATTTTGAGTGCTGATGCATGCATTTTGAAAGTTTTGCCCTTCACCTGGAATTATTTTTAAGTTAAAGAAGTAATAGAGAGATTCAAATCATCTATGTAGTAGTTTCCGGTGTGGTTATGGAGTTGTTAAAATTTGATAATTATCAATATAATTTTTGTGAGGTAAAAGTGACAGCTTTCGTTAATTGGCAGGTATGCTCATTTATTGGTCTCGGATTTCTCTGATTCAGTATCGTCTGCCCCTCCTGAAGCCTTGCAAGATTTTGTGGTTGATCCAAGGGTGAGAGACGTACAGAATATAATTCAACATGCCAATCCTCCTGATCAACGGCAACCCACCCGGGAAATTGCAAATAGGAGTGCATTGGCTGTCCTGTTTGAATCAATGCTACCTTGGGTTAATTATGGGGATGAGAGAGATGTGGGTGTTGACGATGGTAACCAGCCCGATGAGCATGACCATTGAGTTGTCAATTATTCTCCAGTTTCAAGTTCGAAAATGGACTTGTTGTGATGCGGCATAGATCACCTACGCTCAACTTGTGTTATATGGTGGCAGTCTCCCATCTGTCATTGGTTTCCAACTGCGATTGATTGGTAGTTGTACTTCTATGTAGGTAGTTCTGAATTCTCAATGCATATGTTATATTTCTCAAGCAAAGATTGATCAATTCGTAGATTGGAGAAGATTTCTTTCTTACATGTTGCACAGTAAATAGATGATTAATTATACTTTTCTTGTTCTAGTATACCCAATGATTCTGTTGGTTTGAAATATGGGGAAGAGATAGAAATAGCGTCGGAAGATGTGGTGCTGTGTAAGAATGAGAATCATGGCATGGCATAGCATAGCATAGCTCTTTCTTTCTTTCGTACCTAAAATAAATAAATAAATAATGAGTATGTTGTGGTGGTTGATGGAGGTGCATGCAGCTGTGAGACGAGGCCTGACTGCAACTCAATTATTACACCTAGCTGCCCTTCAATTATCTTGGAATTTATTCATTTAGCTGCATCAGTTAGATTTTGGAGATAGAGCAGCCGGACGGCGCGGGGGCCGCCCTATCATTATCATTAGGCGCACTACCAATGCCCTCAACCCATCATTTCGCTCACACCCAATTCCCAATTCCCTGGCATCGAAACTTATTGCAGTCTCTTAAATCTTTAATCCTATGCCAGTGCCAACTCTACCCTACGTCTGGCCCTCTAATAATTAATTATCGTAATTATTATTTTATTTTCGTGGTCCTCTGCTCTACACCCCACTGCCCAGAGCTTGTACTCATTGTTTTTGTTAAGACTGGGGACTGGTTTGAACAAATTCCTGAAAGGAAAACTACATCCTGCTAACAACAGATAATTTCACGTCACACAGCCTGGTTGCTAAGTCAAAGGAGCAGACCAGCCCTATAAAAAAGCGACAGGGAGCAATTAGGTGTGGGAATAAGCGAACCTGCGGACCATCATCAGCAAAGATTTTGAGAGGAGAAGAAAGCCGAAAGGAAAGTTGGTAGTCATGGGTAGCGGCAGAAATGTCGGTAATCTGAAAAATGCTGTCATAGCATTGCTAGTTCCGCTTCCCTCCATTCTCTTTTACCTATCTTTCCTCAGCCACTGCGGTAGCGGAAATCTTTCGTCTTTTCTTTGGAAATGGTGCTATCACCATCCTCTTTTATTGGTGAACGCACTCTTCTTCCTCAACGTCAACCTTGTCTTCTGGCTCATCAGTCATGTCCAGTCCAGCCACTGGGTGAGCCTCCTTAGTCCTTACTTGTCGTCTGTTTAATTCCCAATTTTTTTCCCTCAAATTCTCAGCTTAAACAGCACGTACGGTTGATTGTATTCTACTTTGTAATTGGTTAAAGTTCCGTTGGTTTTAAAATTGTTTGGTGCAGATGATTGATTTGTACTGGACATTGATACCCGTGATGCTCGTTCATTATTTCGCTTCCCACCCTTTAGCTCAGTATAATGAATTGAGGTCATGGATCGCAATTGCTTTGACATGGATATGGAGCATAAGGCTTTCCCACAACTACTTCAGGCGGGAAAGATGGCAGTGGGGTGCCAAAGAGGACTGGAGGTTCACGGATTTGCGCCGACAGTACGGCGAGAACTGGTGGTGGGTTTCTTTCTTCGCCGTCTACCTTTCACAGCAGGTACTAACTTGTTCGGATTACTCTCCTTCATGCATGTTCATAAATCTCTGGCTTTACTTTACTCATAACCTGCTTGATGAATTGCCCCAACGAATTTTAGCGGCAAAACTGGTGGTTGATTTGTGTTTCTTCCAAATTAAATAGGTGTTTCTGATAGGCGTATGCCTCCCTCTGTACGTTGTCCACTCAGTTGATGAGGCATTGAAGATGTGGGATTTGGTAGCCATCTTTGTGTGTGTTTCTGGAATTGTCATCGCCTACTTTGCCGACACACAACTCCATGAATTCGTGAGTAGGAACAGCAAGCTCAAAARGAGTGGGAAGCCAATGGTCGCCAATCTAGAGGAGGGACTGTGGGGTTACTCTCGACACCCAAACTACTTTGGAGAGCAGTTGTGGTGGTGGGGACTTGTAATATTTGCGTGGAGTTTAGGTAAGGGATGGAGCTTTGTTGGATCACTCATCAACAGTCTGTGCTTAGCCTATGTGACCAAGCTGGTTGAAGAGCGAATGGTGAAGCAAGAGTACAGAGCGGAAGCTTACAGGAAGTATCAGAAGACTACATCAGTGTGGATACCTTGGTTCAAGACATCATTAACAGCAGATGAGAAGGAGAAGAATATGTGAATGTGATGCGAGTGACTTGTGGTGTTGGTGTGGCTCTTTCTCGTTTATGGATGTCGTGAGCTGCGTTGATTTATGCTATCTTGTTGTAAAGCTTTCTATTGTGAGTTTATATCTGGAGGAAAAAGTCTGGGTTTTATCCTCCTTATCTATTATATCAATGAATAGAACCTTTAAGGTCATTTGCAACTGCTTTTACAGACTTCGTTTAATCTCTGTTTGGCCCCTTGGTTGTTTCTGATTATGCAACTGTGCAACCCAGTCCAGTTTTCAAGCCTATACACGTTATACATTAAATAAATACTAAAATGTCTAAGGACAGAATCTTCCCGCACCTTCAACCTATGAGTGCAAGGAGGAAGAAGTTGTAGGTTTCAAAGTGAAGCATGCTGTCCTAGGCAACCTCATCTGCTCTGCAAATTTTTTGTCAAATTGTTTGGCATTGCCTTGGCTTTTACACAAACAATTTTCATCTGCTGTGAAGTGATATTGATTTGACTATAAATTAATGTTGTGAAAGCGTGAATAATGCAAAATTTGAATAATTGTGTTACAAAAAAGCACTGAATTGCAACAGGATGTGGAAACTGCAGTGCAATCAAGAATCCACATTCTCTTACTAATATCCTATAATAAATTATATATCCCTTCCGAATAAAGAGGAATAGTACAAATAAGGTGTGTTTTATTGGATTCACTTTAGACTTCAAAGCAGATAACGACAAACCTCACTCTCTAGTCTCTGCGGCCTGGTGTCACTTATTTATTTGCCAATACCTTGTACAAATAATAGCAACAGCAACAGCAACAGCAACAGCAAGCTTTTCTTTTCTTTAGCTTCTTCACCAAGTAGAAGACCTCCGCTGGAGTTGGTCAATTTCCAAGTCAATGGAGTTCCCTGTATTTAATGCTCTCCTGCATCCCCACTTCTCTACACTCGCTTCCTTCCTGCTCCTCTACTCACTTCTTCTTCCTACAAACCATCCACCCCGAAGCTTTTCGTCAAATACATGGCCAATTGCACCCATCGGGATCTATGGCCGGTTGGATTCCGATTCCATCCAACAGACGACGAGCTAATTAATCACTACCTGAAGAACAAGATGCTTGGTAAGGAATCGCTTGTTCAATACATCCCTCAAGTTGATATCTGCAAGTATGATCCATGGGAACTCCCCAGTATGTTTCTCCCTCTCTCTCAATTACATTTCTTGATTTCATTCATGCCTCTGTTTTGGGATTATGAAAATGAACGACTCTGAGGCTCTGTTTCTTTCACTTTCTCTTCGTTCATAGGCCTATCAAACGGCGATACTGGTGAGCAGCAGTGGTTTTTCTTCTCTGCGCAAGATTTCAAGTATTCCAATGGCCGTCGATCCAATAGGACCACAGGAACCGGCTACTGGAAATCCACGGGCAAGGACCGCAAAATCATGGCTCCAGGAACCAAGACGTTGATTGGTACCAAAAAAACTCTGGTCTTCCACCGCGGCCGGGTTTTAAATGGGATCAGGACTAATTGGGTCATACATGAGTACCATCTTCACTCGGACGCCAACTTCACGAACCTGGTGATTGACCTCATTCTTTTGTCCCTTATACATTATTTCTTTCACGTCTTTGTTGTCTAATTTCATTTATTTTGGGCCCTTTCATGCTGTTTTTCATATGGTTTTGTGTAGTGAACTTTGAGTCTTCGTACATACTAAAGTTTGATTTGGTAGGATTGATCTATTCATTATAATTTTAGAAAAATCTGCTGCAGCTATCCTATAATTTGACAATTTGCAATGTATGTTGGTCTATTATCTTGATGATGATTATTGATTAGTTTAACACTCCTCCTTTCTATGCCTCTTGCTCATGCAGAGGTCGTTCGTTATTTGTCGCCTAAAGAGAAAGTCAGACGAGAATGATGTTTTGATATGTAATGAAGCTGAATCAAACGGTATTGTGAATTCCACCTTCAAAAATGTGCAAAGCACAATGGACGAAATCCAAGAGGTTAGAATTTAGAAAGAGAAGTCCCTGGACCTGGACGCTGTTTACTGTAGCATGAAATGCTTTAAACTAATCTTAACATTATATATGTCCAGATTTTAGGAAATGGAGAGTCATTGTTTCAACCGGACCTCCAGGTTTTGGATTATGATTTTCCCGATTTGCAGTCCCCATTGTTTTCTGACCCCGAGCCTACTTCGATGGATTTCCAAGCTACCAATAGCTATGGGACTCACGTAAATGGAGCTTCTGATGAGGACATTGATACTGAAGAATTTGTAAACTCAATCCTTGTTGATGATGAAAATTGTTTCCATGAAGGGACACCAAATAGTTCGATCAATGATTTCAACTATGAGGAATTGCTCCACTTGGTTAGTCATCAGGGATTCAGCGGTGACACTGGCATGAATTCAGCTTTCGATTGGCAGGTAAAATAATATCATAAATCATTAATTTTACACCAAGGGCTTGTTGGAAATCCTTGATGGCAGAGATTGATGAATTATTAGACCTAAATTATGTGTATTTTATCGTGTTGCAGAATGATCATGCTTCTCGCAGCTTGTTGGGTGAACATACCCGTTCAAGGGTACAAACTCAAAGTATGCCGATGATTAGAAAATCACGTAGAAGCCCACTCACTTCAAAGATTCTCAAGTACGGAGGTGAAAAAGTTGTTTCCTCTCCCCGCCCTCGTGAAGATACACTTCAAATCAATTGCATCTTTTCATACCACGGTGATGACTCTGACAAAGAAAGAACAACTTTGAGACCTCAAGGACCTAAATCCCATAAGGTTGTAGCCCAATTGGAGAGGGAAACTCAACTCCGAGTAGTATCATCCCATGACAAGGTGAGAGAGCAGAACAAAAACGCTCACATAGGATAAGATCATATCTTTTTTTCTCATGAAAACAATTTGAATGACTTTATTTTGCCATGTCTTACATCCAATGTCTTTCTTTTTTCAGGCAAAACCAGTTCCTAAACGGATTAAAGTTGTCAAACCAGTCAAAACATCTAACAAAGATTCTATTGAAGACCAAAAAAGTGAAGTTGAGAATAGTTTAGCCAACCGGATCAAGTCAACTGGTCGTGGGTGTCTTGAGAGTCGAGTAAAGTGTTCCTCAAGTATCCTGACTACAAAATGCATTCACCACAAATCAAGTCCAGCATCAGCTTATGTTGCCAGAGCATGTATAGGCTTCATTTTGTTCATCATGGTTGCAAGACAAGCGCTGCTGTATGGAAATTGGTGATAAATGTTAGTACCCACGTGGTACAGGTAACAGGTGGTTATACTCGTACTAGCAAGTTACTATGTTTCGTAATGTATATGAAGGGAGGTGTCCCGACTCCTAGGCAATCGATCATTCGTAGGCATCATCACCAAATGAGAGAAAAAACGGGACAGAAATGAGGCATGACCTTCATAAAACGTGCCAGTTTGATTGTTTCTTTTAGTGCCATGGTTGGATTCATGTTGTATAGGCGATGGTGTTCTAGTAGTGATGGCTGATGGGAAAATATTAGATCAAGTTTTCTGTCTTTTTCTTTCTTTTCCTGTATTCTGCTGTTGATGTGGGAGAAGGGCATCCGCATCTATACTGAAATTTGGTGGCTACTCCAAGATGCAAAGAGGAGAGAGGAAGAGATCAATCTGGTTTCGAAGGTGCACATCCGACGAGATGCAAATGGCGCGGCCCATGGTATTGTCCGAAGAGCTATGGTGTACACTATGACAGATGAGTGGATTTTTTAGTTTTCCATCTGGTTAATGGAGTTAGCACGCATTGTTTAGTTTTTTTCTATTTTTGTTCTCAAGAAAGAAAAAAAAAGTACATCTGTTTTATTTAATAGTTTTTTTTTTTTTAAAATACACTTTGGTTAATGGAGTTAGCACGCATTGTTTAGTTTTTTTCTATTTTTGTTCTCAAGAAAGAAAAAAAAAAGTACATCTGTTTTATTTAATAGTTTTTTTTTTAAATACACTTTTGATCCATAAGTTTCTATTTAGTCCATAAGTTTCAAAAATTAACAGTTTGGTCCTCAATTTTTAAAAAGTAATTCTAAAAGGTCCCTGAAGTTAAAATTCCATTGCTAATGGAATCTTGACATGGCTTTCGCCAATCAAAAGTTCGCTATCTTCATCTCATCTACCTTAATTAATTTCACAATAATTTTCTCTATCCAAACCATTTTGTACTTCAATGGCTACAGTCATCCTTCTCTTTTTAGGGTTCTTCTAAGAAAGTGCTGAGTTAGGCAAAATGAAGGAAATAAGAGGTTTCACTTTATGTTAGAAGGTGAGAAAATTAAAGGGAATGAGTAGGGGAGGGAGATTATTATATAGGAGCACGAGCTCCTAGGTAAGAGAAGAGAGATGAGTGTTTGGGGCGTGGGAAAATGACCGTTTGTGTAAAATTCCCTCAAGCCGATTCCATAGATATTGCAGAGGGAAAAGAAAGAAAGGGAAGGGGRAAATTAAAAAAATACCATCTAATTAAAAATAATAATATAAAATTATTAAATATCTAACTCACCTCAGTTATCGCGCCTAAACTTAATATATGAAATAAACCCATCAGTTATCGTGCATAAACTTTTCCAATTTCTTTTCTTTATTATATATCAAACATATATCACATATATATCATGAGTATATCTGACAACATTAGTATATCAGAARTAAATCAATAGTATATCAGAATTCAATCAATTCTATATCAGTGGTATAATAGTAAATCACTATTTTACCTGCTTTAACCCTTTGTCTTGTATTTTTTTGATCAATTAGAAATCAGTAGGTATTGGCATGCATGGAAAATGAGAAAAAATTTTTGATACTTACTGAAAATGAGAAAAAAAACTTGAAAGGAACGTGAATGTGAACGTCAATGGTGATTTTCAAATTATTGTGAATGAAAAATAAAATGGACGAAGATGAATGAGCAATCAATTAAAAATCAAATGTAAATAGAAACTTAGGGTTTTTATGTATATCAATAATATATAAGTGATATATCAAATATACATCGTACATATATCAGTAGTACAATTAAGTTTTATTTAAAATTTTAAATATCAAAATGAAATCAGCAACAATGTCATTCTTAAAAGGTTTAAACATCATTCTTGGGTATCAACATCAACGTCAAATCAGCAGTAAAGTCCTTCAACAAAAAACTTAAAGGTTTAAACATCAAAAACGAACCAGTAGCATAAACCAAAAGTAGACTAACAATGTTATTCTTAAAATTCTATAAAAGAAGAAGCATAAGTTCCAACAGTCTAGAAAAACGTAAGTTTCATTCATGTATAATTTTTAGGTAAAAGCTTGGGATATCAATCTTCGTTCTTGGCTATTGTCGTGTCTACGGAGATAATATCTTTGAAGCTTTCTGTTTTTCCATAGACAACACTTTTGACATTGGTTTATGTTGTCTTTTGGGACAAACGACATCAATATTTTCGACAATGTTTTTTTTATTTCATTTTTCATGTTTGTACCATTGCTTTTATCTGAAAAATAAAAATTTATTTCATATATTAGTAGTATATCAAAAAACATATTAGAGGTAATATGTTTGAAATAATTGGTAGATATCATAGTTATATCAGAAGTAAATCAATTTCATATCATATGTATATCAAACATATATCACATATATATCAAGAGTATATCTGTCATCAGAAGTAAATAAATTTCATATCAGATGTATATCAAACATATATCACATATATATCAGGAGTATATCTAACATACATTACATATATATCAGGAGTATATCTATCCATCATAGTTATATCATAAGTAAATCAATAGTATATCATAAGTCAATCAGTTTTATATCACCTACAGTAGTATATATCATAGTTATATCAAAAATAAATCAATTTCATATCAKATGTATATGAAACATATATCACATATATATYAGGAKTATATCTGTCAATCATAGTTATATCATAAGTAAATCAATAATATATCAGAAGTCAATCAATTCTATGTCACATATAGTAGTAGATATCAAAGTTATATTAGAAGTAAATCAATTTCATACCATATGTATATCAAACATATATCACATATATATTAGGATTATATCTGTCAATCATTAGTATATCAGAAGTCCATCATAAGTAATTTATTGTTGGTTCGGGCCAGACAGGTATACTTGTAATTTAGAACGTGGGCCTCCATTTTTTTGCAAAAAAAAAATGTTATATTTGAAAAATTCAAACCTTGTTGCTATTTTGCTTATTTTCCTAACTTTTTTTTGTCATATCTCAAGTTGCCTCAAAAAAATATTATTAAATTAATGTATTTTGGGTAATTAAAAGTACGGATCAACCCTACTAGAAATTACATAAAAAGCATTGGCGAAAGTTAAAAAACGTTGGGAAAACCTCCTCATGATTGATTCACAAAATGGTCTACTTGACTTCGTGGTTACTTGACTTCGTGGTTACTTAACTACCCTTCCAATCGTATTGGAGGATTCAAACTTAGGACTCAAGGGAGAAAAGGAACGTAAACAAGCAAAGGAGAACATTGCCAACAAAACTTCCAATATTAATATATAATAAATAAACCTTGCCCGAGATTTACAATACTCACTCGTAGAAATGAAAACCCGAGCAAACTCAGACGGGTTTTTTGCGAACTCGAGCTGGTTTTTTACGAATCCGTCGAGTTTTTGCCTATACTTTTCTTATGGAACTCTCAAAACGGATCCCAAAAAACCTACCCTGGGCACAAAACTCACTCGAGGTTTTGCCCAAGTTCTTTTACAGAAATCTAAACACTCGGAACAAAATTTTCATGCACTCTAGGGCAAGATTGATGCTCAAGATTTATTATCATTTAATTTTAAGGAACTCAAATTAAAAAATATATATCAAGGAGCGAGATTTATTCCATTTTAGTCGAGATTCAAGTCCGAAATTTATGCCCATTTTAATTTCAACAAACCCAAATAAACAAAATCATCCTATATTAAAATTGTATCTCAATCCAAGTCTCTCTTTGTCTCAAAATACCGTCAACTCATATATTTTTTCCATTTTTTTAAAACGAAAAAAATTCAAGAAATCGACAAAAATGGAAACTAAAAAACAGAAAATTGAACGACAAGAATACACATAGATAAATCGGAGGGGGAAAGAAGAGAGAAGGGGCACTAATATAATTTCACAGTTTCTTAAATTAAAAAAATTATTGATTTAGGTTAGAAAAAAGAAGGGTAAATTGCATAAATCACTCATAAAGTATGGTAGCTGTTGCAATTATACTCCTAAACTTTCAATTATAAAAATTAAACCCCCAAACTTTGATAAGTGAAAAAATTAAACCCTTAAATATTGAGTTGTAGAAAATAAACCTCAAATTTTCATGAGCGGTGAAATTGCACCCCTAAATATTTTTAATGGTAAAAATAAAGACGTAAAACTTAAAAAAAAATTACATCTATTTTAGTCAGTTTCTCCCCACAAACCCTTTAAACGAGTATTAGAGGGAAAATCAAAACTCTGTAACGCAAAATATTGAAATCCAGATTCTGTTTAACACCAAATCCTCTTAACCAATACTGAAGATAGGAATACCCATACTGAAGAATAGGAATACCATAAAATTTCAGCTCTTCAATCGAGAAACAGATTCTGTTTACCCCCAACATTTGTCTCACCCACTCTCTTTGTAATTTTTTACTTGTGTAATTGAAAACATTGAGTGCTTATGATTTTGTTTTCTTGGAATTTTGTTTCACTCCCAAGAAAACAAAATTCTTAATACTTCGGCATTGAATYGATTTCTGTTACGGTTATCTCCCAGCTTACAATTCAGTGTTCCACCTATAAATCAGTTTTCCACAATTTCCATTTCTACCAAATTAAATCAATAAGGCATGAGGCGGCGGCCGGTGGGGTAGATGGTGCGGGTGGGATCCATTTCCATTGGCGCACCAAGCCAACCCGAGTCTCTTAAGTGAGTGTCACAAAGCAAGTAACTTCTGCAGGAAGTCGAACATCACCATCGTTCATTCAACCTAAGTCTCCTTTCCTGCTCCTACTCCGTTGTTATTATACATGCATTTAGATTTAGACATCCACCGACGCTCTTGCAAGTTGCTACCTAATTCATGGCCTTTCCTCCTAATGTCTGCCAGTGGCCGATTGGTTTTGGATTCCGTCCCACGGAGGAGGAGCTCATTACTCACTACCTAAAGAACAAGATGCTTGGCCACGATTCTCTTGTTCCATGGATCCGTGAGATTGATCTCTACAATTACGATCCCTGGGAACTCCCTAGTATGTAATGTATTTCCACTTCCCCGACCCGACCCGACTGTGATTTAAGATTTTGAAGATAAATCAATAAAATTCTCATTCTAGCTTTCCCCTTCTGCAGAGGAATCGGTTTTCGAGTCTGATAATTATGAGTGGTTTTTCTTCCGGTCCCAACCCACCAATGGTCGTGGCCCCAAAACTAAGAGGACCACACGGACTGGCTACTGGAAATCCACGGGTGAGGACCGCAAAATCAAGGCTCGAGGAACCAACAAAGTGATCGCAAATAGAAAAATTTTGGTGTTCCATCGAGGCCGGAGTCCTAAGGGAGTAAAGACCAACTGGATCATACACGAGTATCACCTTCACCCAGACACTAACATCGCATACCAGGTATTTCTGTTTGGTGATCTATACTTATGAGTCTATTACGTTCTGCAATTTTCGTATTGTTCACAAGGATCTTTTCGTTTTAACCCTGTCCTTCCTTTATGTAGCGGCAATTCGTCATATGTCGCTTGAAGGAAAATGCAGAAGAGAAAGATGTTTCCACTTGTGATCAGAACAGCAGTGTTGCTTCTCACTTGAAAGATGAAGTCACAGCAATCCGGGAGGTAAGTATCCTGTATGAAGATCAACTTTTGTGCAGAGCTTGAGATGGTTTGCTTAACTCTAACTCGTTTATAATTTTGAACCCAGATGTACACAAACAACCCAACAAATGAAAAATCAGTCCTAGGACCACCTGCTTTGACAGATATTCAACCAGCCAACGCCTATAATGGTGAAGTAAATAGGCAATCAGTACGGGCTACAGCTTCTGAAAGTGAAGTTGGTCTCACAGAGTGGTTGAACTCACTTCCGGATGAATGCTTTGATGATGCGACCTCAAAGATGTGCAGATCCCCAGGGCATTGCGAACCAGACCCAACTTTAATGGATTTTCAACCTGCCAATGGCAATGATGGTGAAGTAAATAACCAATTATTGCAGCCTGGAGCTTCTGAGAGCCAAGTTAATCTCACTGAGATCTTCGACAAAGTCTTGTTGGAGGATGAAAAATGTGACGAGGTGACATCAAAGATCTGCATTGATACCTACAACGATGAGGAATTGGATAACATGGTTCTTGAACTTCAATGCGGTGGATTTAGCAGTGACATTGTTAATGACGCAGCATACGGGTGGCAGGTAAAAATATTTCAAAATATTACAATTTACATTAATTTACTTGATTTTTTTTCCGTCTGTTAGGTAATTTTAAGTGGGCGAATTCGTTACAGCGTGCAACATTGATTAGGAGAGAGTGTGATCTACTGCAACATTGATTAGGAGAGAGTATGATATATAGTATATAGATGAAGACAATTGTCACTGGTGGTATGAGTCCTTTTGGTTTCAAAGTTGTGAAGGTTATGTCCAAAGCAATCTATTGTAAAGATACTTGGATGTACCATTGTCTTACCTGCAACAACACACATTTTCAGAGTCTTTCCTCTTGTTTTGTCTTATTTGTTTTCTTATAAATTCTAGGTACATGTGAATGCGATTCTTATTCATTGAGTAATTATCTGCCTTTTCTCGGGTCTTGCAGAATAATCACAGTTCTCCAAGCTGGTTTCATGAATGTACGAGTTCAACAATCAAACAGTTTCGTAGAAGCCCTCTCACTGTAAAGCGTTTTCGGTACAAGGAGGAAAAAGATATCTACTGTCTCGATGAGTTGCAAGGGAATTCCCGTGTCCTTTCTGGTGAAGGTGAAGCTCGAATGTGTGGCATTTCCTGGGACAATTACCACTCTGATCATGGATCAAGAATATGTCAACCAAAATCCAGTAACACTGTATCCTGTGGAGTCCGATTGAAGAGGGAAATTAAGAGTGAAGGAATATCCCAAGACAAGGTGAAAAGACAAAAAAATGTGCTTTAAAAATATATATACTGTGTATAAGCTCTTATTGTTGTAAAATTATATGTATGAAGACGACTTCTGGATGGTTTTTGACTCTGGTGTTCAATTTCTGCAGGCAAAAGAAGTTGAAAAACACATAGAAGTTGTCACTTCACCCCAGCTATCGATGACAGATTCTAATAACGGGCTGAAAAGTGAAGCAGGCCATAAAGCAACCAAGTGTGGGGTGTCATGTTGTGTATATACTAAGCAAGCAAGAAATGTTTTCTCATATATCCTCACTACAAAATGCATTCAACACAACTCAAGTCTCCCACTGGTGTATTTTGCTAAAGCATTTCTAGGCGTCGTAATGTTCGTAATGTTTGCTCAAGAAATTCTGCTATTTGGACAATGGTGATAAAGATTGGCACCCATTTCTTGATGGCAGTTATTTTATAACGAGGTAAAATACTATTTGGTCCATGAAATGAGTGTCTTAGACCTTAAAGTTTGAGAAATAGTTCTTGGTTCCTGAAACTATTTGAATGTCAATTAACTTGCAAAAAAAAAATTATGCCCTACTTTGGGCATGTTGGGTTGGCAAGTCCTTTCTTCTTCTCTCTTCTTCTTCCTTTCTTTATCTTTCACCTCTGGCGACTTTCGTCAGCATAACCATCCTTGCCGGCCTCCTGAAATCTCCTCCCTCTCTCTTTTTCTCCTCTTTCTTATTTGTCTTCTATCCTTCTTCTCTGGCGACCTTCGCTGACTTGCCGTCATCCGACTTCCAGATCGTAATTGAGAGTTGTACTGTAATTGAGATTATTACAGTGACATTTAATAAGAAATATATTTCCATCATAATACTGAATCATATTTTCTAGTTTTTTGAGACTAAAGTTGTTGCAGATAAATTTTGTATAATTTCGTTTGTAGAACTAAAAAAGAATTGTCACAATTACGCAAAAGATATCTCCTTTCAGAGCCACAGCCATCATATCGATTAGTAAAATTATGGAAAATACTTGAAATATCCAATCCAAATTCTGAAAACAGTTTTCATGAATCTCACTGCCTAAGATATCACAATCCCCACCCCTCCTCCAAATTTGAAGTTGACGTTGAAGTTGCACAATGACTAGATTCTGGTCTGGCCTCACGTGACAGGTATGTCGATCTTCAAACTTCATTTCTCAAACAGCTTTGTGGCCAAAAACTTAGCTGCATGAGCACACAAGCAAGTTCCAATGCATCTACTCACAGCTGATTCCGTTATCACTGCTTCACAAAAGAGCTTTTTAACGCCATAATCATGAATTTTCCCTGCTATGGTGAAATGAAAATCCCTAATCTATGCAATACTAGGATTGGTTAAGGAGCCAGAGTTATCTGCTGACAAGCTGAAGCTCTCCTCACCTTTAATTGCTACTGCATTGGACGACAAAACAAAAAAATCAACGATGAAGATCACTGTGGATGGAAATTCCCAGACCTGCACTAAAAGTAAAACACGCCGAATATTACAAGGATACACATTTTTACGAGAAAGCCTGCACTGAATGTCTCTACGATTAAAAGGAAGATAACTAGGATTCATGTAAATATACCGTCATGCTAACAAGAAAGATCTTGAAGTAACTCGAAATAATGATGGCGAAGATCAGATCTTTGTGCCTACAGAAGCAATGAGAAAAAAAAACAAATCAGAATAAAAGTCTGACGTGAACGTCCTATACACAAATGAAGCATGTTCAATTGCTGCTGTTGCACTCGAGAAAAACAATTTGGGACAATTAAAGCAGCAGTCTTCGTATAACTTACCAATGGAAACCAGCTGAGCTCCTCAGAAATACCCTTGACGAGATAAGAAGAGCACAAAGAAACATGACATTTCCAAGAGACACATCCACCAAAGTCTACAGAGATCTTTGTCACAACTTCATAAAACCATCACGAAACATCTAAAACACCCCAAAAAGATGGTTACAGGATGTATTTCCAAACCTTTCGACAGATCCCAGCTATCGATGAAAAGCTCAAAGATGAATTTCCTTGTATGTCACTTAGTCTCAGAAGCATACACCTGTCTAATTGATTGCTGTTAAGGCACTCGATCTAGATATTATATCATATGTCAAAAGAAAAAAGAATGATTTCAATAGTAAAGTACGAGGACAACTGGACAAGGCATCCCCTGAGTGGAGACTTCCCAACGGAATTGGATACAAGCATCCAAAAGAAGAAAACTCAGAGCGAACTTCCACATTAAATCCTACAAGAGAGTGAAATAAATTACCGTATTACTTATTAGTATCTGGAAAGTGGAAACGACTGTAAGGAAAGGTATAATTCCCCGTTGATTTGAGGACTCCTCCTTACTACAAAAAATTCTGGTACCTGTATAGTATGGAATTCTTGGCCATTAAAAGTTTCATACAGTATACATTAATTCATTGTTGGCCATTAAAGCAGCACTTAGAATAGTGTGGTCCTATTAAATAATATTATATATTACTTAATAATGTGTCAAAGTATGAATGGAAGGAGTAGGTACTATAGTAGCACTATACAAATTCTCCCCATTACTACATAGAAAAGCCCTTTATATAATAATTAAAAAAACCATCTTACTAAATGATATTCAAACAGGGTTTACTGAACAAATACTCGTGAAGCAGAAGGAAATGGCGAACAAGCTATCACCTATCATATGAAATGATAATTACAATTGTCCATTACATTTTCTTTGGTGCATGTGTGGGAAATGAAGCAAATGGGCGCGAACCTGACAAGACAGACGATCTCTATTAAGTACGTTGTAGAGCAAATGTCTGTAGGCCTGGGGCTTGTGCAGTATCAAATCGATTAGTACAATCTACCACTTGAAAACGTATAGTCCTCAGACGAAGTAATTGCATAATCAAATGGATAGAAAGAAAGCATAAAAGAATACAATAATAGTAATGAAGGAGTGGGCAATTCACCATCGCTTCGCACTCGATGTATTCGTCTGCAATGGATTCGCAATTGCCCTTTATAACATTAAGAAGCGTGAGAATTTCACAAAGAAACATTGATTTAAAGAGCACGTAAATAGAGAGGTAGAAGGGAAAACTCGATACAAGCGTACGCATTTCATAAGACGTATATTGCCGGGTGAGTACTGAACAAACAGTTGATTCGTTCCAAATCCACACTGAACACAACGATTCACCTTTGTTTCCCTTCCCATCGGCGAATTCTGGACACAATCGAATCAAATGAGTTTGGCTCATGTTGGCTTTATATTGTTTGTTTAATTACATTTTTTTTTAACAAATTGTTAATTACAATTCAGTTCTTATAGTTTTAGTTTTAAGAATTTAGCTTTGGCTTTATGATATACCTGATACATGTGAGTAAATATATATATATTGTTCAAAATATATATATATTAAAAATTTTCATTAGGTATGTTTAATAATGTCGCAACTTTTCAATTCCTGTAAACTTCTATTTTCAAGCTCCTAAAATATGCCTCTAGTTTGCTAAAAAATAATGCCTGAACTTTTATTTTCAATCTTTTCAATTCCTGAAAATTCGAACCACCCGCCTGCATCTCACCAATACCAATCCTCAAAGAACATCTCCCTCCCACCCTCAACTTTCTTCATTTTAATTTAATTCAGACGAATTTAATTAAATTAACTTAAACACAATTCCCTATATATGCAAAAAATTGATCAAAATCTCACCTCAGATTTCGTGTCGTTGAAATTCGGATCCGGATCTGATAAACACGAATGCGATATCTGAGAAACCATTTCCCCGGTTTTGATCAGCTCTTTCTTATCTTCAAGTTCAGCAACATCTGAATTGTTGTTGTTCTTCAATCTCCGGCCCGAAGCGGACGACGGTTCTTTCCCTTTTCCGGCGGAAGAATGGGATTTTGTACTCATATTCCCCTTTGGGAAGGAAGGCACTTTCGGAATCTCTCTCTATATTGGTGTTTGTTTCAAATATACTCAAAAGTTCCTTGAGAATATGTTTCTACTTGTTCTTAGGTTTTAAAAAGCATGCATTAACCGAACCGATTAATCAAAAAGTCATGAGTTTGAAGCCGAAGCATCACCGGTCGTACTCAAAAAGGTTTTTGAGAATTATTATTTCGAATTCCAATTTTACCCTTTATTATGTAATACCAGATCTCGTGCAATTTCCTTTGCATTTGGATTGCTCTTCGTGCTTTTTCTTCTTCGAAAACAATGCGTCGATTTCGAATTAGTCTCTCCTCGCGAGCTCTTAATTAGTCTTGTTTTCGAATTATTCTTGGTATCCACACTTCAATTTTTTTAGCTTCGTCGTTGTTCGTATTTGCTGTGAATTCATTTTAGGGCATCAGATTTGGAGAGCGCTTGTCCAATAAATCCAAAGTCCCGATCCAACACTCCTAGGTGGTTTCAACTCAGATGTCGGAGGACAATTTAATTGAGGATTAAGTTAAGGAACAGGGAAATCTAACCAACGAGCTTGCAGAATTTGCTACTGCAAAAGAGCCTTCAAACTAAGAGCTTGCCCATAACTTCATGTTGATTATACGTGTACCCATCCCAACCTCAAAAAGTATTTTTTCTTCCCTTCCATTCAATTCCAAGTTATATAGGAATTCAATTCGATCAAGAACATTGATGATTCTAGGTATTCGAATGAGTAATTGTATTATCTTTCTTTATTTTTATTCTGGGTTTTCAATACTTTTCCTCTAAATGAAATCCTTCGAAAGTATTTTGTTGACGAACGTTGATTGTAGCAATATAAGAGAAACCCATCAACAAGCTATGTAGTTTCTCAAGGTCCCATTTTCACAGTAAAAAAACACATCATTCAAAATCACAAAGGATTCAATCAATACACATCATGAGTATATCAAATATATATCAAACATATATCATTACTATATCAGTGGTAAAATTCATATAAGAAGTTATATCAGTAGATCAGTTTATGGTAAATTTTATAATAATATAAAAAATTATATGGATAGATATCATAGTTATATCAAAAGTAAATCAATTGTATATTAAATGAATCATATAATCATATCATAAGTTATATCAGTAGATATCAGAGTTATATTAGTAACTTTATATTTCATTCTCTTTGTTTGCACCGTTGTTTTCATCTGAAAAAAAATTAGTGGATATATTAGTATTATATCAACACACAAATATCACAATAGATATCATAGTTATATTAGAGATATGTCAAGTATATATTGTAATAAATTTATATATAATAAATCATATAAATAATTTATATCAATAGATATTATAGTTATATCAGTCGTACATTAGTTGTATATTAGTGAGATATCAGTGGTAAATTAGAAGTATATCAAGTATATATCTCACATATATCAATGTTATATCAATGTTATGTCGGTGGTAAATCAATGATAAATTAATCAATAGTAAATCATATAATCATATCAGAAGTTATATCAGTAGACACATAATTATATCGAAAGTAAATCAGTTGTATGTCAGTAATATTTCAGTGTTATATCAAATATATATCAAGTACATTTCAGACATATATTAATGTTATATCAATAGTAAATCAATAAATGGTAAATAGTATAATCATATAAGAAGTTATATCAGTAGTATATCAGAGATATATCAAGTATATATCAAACATATATATTAGTGCAAATCTTAGGGAAATTGATTCTAACATCCCACCAGACTAGGCTATTGGGCCTCCATGTTTTTGAGCTAATTAAGGGTAAATTTGATATTTTCCAAGTTAGACCTCCGTATTTTTGAAAAAAATTGCTAACAATCCAAATGTAGATGCTAATCTTGTTATTTTACCTAATCTTTTTGCCATTATTGCAAGAGACCCTTAAAAATAAATAAAAGAGACCCACAAAACTGCAAATGCCAATTGAGAGTGCCAAGATTCTGGTCTATGAATAGTCAAACAGAGTACACTTCCAAACGGATGCCAATACCAATTGAAAATTGTGGAGAAAAAAATAGATTTGGAACGGAGACTGGAGGAGCACCAAGGGGATGAGGGAAGAGAGAGAAAGAGAAAAGAAAAAGGAAAAAAATGCCACCTAACTTCAAATTGACAACCTAATAATGTCATGTCACTTTTCCACGAAAACCATTTAGAACTATTTCCTAAAGGTTATGGATCAAACTATCACTTTTTGAAATTTAGAGACAAAATAGAAACTTATCCTCAAAATCAGTGTATTTTACCCTTTGCTAAATACTTATTTGTGATAAAAAATGAGTTTCAATTAATAAGGATTTAAGTGGGTGTTTGGTTCCCCATTTTCAAAACGGGGAGTAGGGTTTGTCTAACAAACCCACGTTTGCTTCTCAGTTTTATAAACACATTTTGCTACAATTATGAGTGTTCACGGGTTGGGTTGGGTCGGGTTAGATGTTTTTTTTTGGACAAACCCAAATTTTCGGGTTGGTATTCGAATTGGTCAGATAAGCAAACCGAAAGAAGGTAATTGTCAACCGAACCCAACCGAACCCAATTTTTCGGGTTGGCTCGGTTTGGTCATCAGGTTGCCTTTTATTCTTCTCATTTCTTCTTCTTATATGGAATAGCAGTTGAAATCCACCGACGTCATTGACGTGGCCACCGCCACAATGTCCATCATCGTGAACACCGTGTAGATCGATTGGGAGGAGCCAATATTGCTCTTGAAGCCGACAGGGACGACGTAGGCGGCAACAAACACGATGGTGGCAATTAGGACCGCGACGATGGAGCATAACTTGGAGGAAAGGGTTTCTTTCAAAGGGGTTGAACTTCCTCTTGATCTTCGAAAGGGTTTGTTTCGTACCGACCATCCATAGCATAAGTGGTTCTCGACGCAAGTTAAGAAACAGAACCTAAGAACCCCTATCTGATTTGAGCAAAGGAAGGTGGAAAGCTCGAGCTCAAAGAACTTTGATGGTGGACCTTACAAAGTAGAGGGCGAGATGAGGGATGAACGTGAGAGAGTGAGCAAGGGCCGGCATGGGATGCTTCCAATGGAAGAAGATTAGGATGAGATTCGAGAGATGGGAGAAGATTAGAAAAGTTGAGAAAGAGCGTGAGATTTGAGAGGGAGGCTGAAAAAAACTAAAAATGAAACCTAAAAAAACATAATATATATATATATGTGTGTGTATATATATTTTTCAAGTTTGGTTTGGGTTGAACTGAAATTTATTTGGTTGAACCCGTGAATCGAAGTGAATCGCTCGGTTCACATAAAATATAATCCAATCCAAACCAAAATTTTATCTAACCCAACCCAATCCTTATGATTTGATTTGGGTTGTTCGGGTTCTCGGATTGTTGGGTTTTTTCACCCCCAACTACAGTAAATATTATTCCACCATCCAGCTACAATAATTTATTCATACTCTTCAATTTGCTACAGTGTATATTTTGTCTTTATTCTATATTTTAAAATGCATTAATTTTTTAATTAAATATATTAAATAAATAAAGAAATTAGTTAATATTAATTTTAATTATAAATAAATAAATCAATTTAATTAAAATTACATTTAAAAAAATAATTAATTCATATATCGACAATTTTTTTCTAGTTTTTTTTTTCCAAATGATCTAAGAAAAATCTAATTTCTTTTGTTTTTGGTATCTATTTCTAGCTGTTTTTTTTTTATTTTTATTTTATATAGTTGTTCATTTTATTTCTTTCATTTTTATTTATTTTTTGTTATCTCTATCACATCTGTAAAAGACGTTATGATTTTGTATAATTATTTGTTTTAATTTTATATCTTCTTTTTTAACTTGTGAAGTTAATAGTTTTTAAACAAATATTATTTAAAAGGTTTTCACTTTGTAATAAAATGTAATTTTCAAATAAAAATAAGTAAAATTTAATAGTAATGTTAATGATAATTAAGTAATCAATTTTTTTAGAATAATTAAGTAATCAAATTTACTTAAGATAGTAAATAGTGAAAAATTAAATAAATTGTTGATAACATTTTCTCTACGGTAAAATTTATGTCTAATGACTTTGTATATTTTTGTTTAAACATTGATAAATATTTCAAAAGTATTTTCATAGATAATTGAATATTTATTTTAAAAATTAATCATTGGGAAAAAAAATGGATGAATAAATGTATTGAAAATATTTTATATATGTTTAAAATAGTATTTCTTAATTTCATAAGAAAATTGACTTATTTAAAATAAAGTCAAATAATTTAAACGGAACTTAAATGATTTTAATTAGATAATTAGTTTATTCATTATTTTTTTTTTAAAATTAAAACTCAACCAATTGAACACAAATTTAATAAAATTAGTTTAACAAAATACAAAACACTGACTTAACAAATATAGACTTAAACAATAAATCTAAACTTAACAAATTCAGACTTAATAAATCAGGACAGAACAGTAAACCAAATACCCTTTGTTGTACTGTTTCGTCAACGAAATGAAGTGGCGCATTGCCTTGACGGTATGAGCAGAGGCTTGTTGTTGTATTGATATTCATTTGAGTTTAAATGATAGAGGAGCACTTACCGGCATCCTTGGCTGGTATTCCTGCACCTGGACAGGCATTTTTATTTCTCAAATTATTTTACTAATTAATTTGTTTTTAATTTTCTTTTCTTATTTAAATGCATAAATTTTAAAACCTTAAATATAATTTTTTAAGTTATATATGTTTCTTATTTCTCTTATTCAATTTTAATTTTTCAAGTACTATTTGATTAGTTTTTCACTATTTAAAAATTAGCATTGTTAATTAATATTTTTTGTATTGTATATTGTTCAAAATTTTAATCTAATATTTGAAAATGTTTAGTTAGTTATTGATTTTTAAAATTTGGTTAGATTTTTCGAAATGTCTTCATGTATATATATAAAAAGTTTTAAGAAAATATTATGTAACATTAATACTTGTTTATGACCATTTTACATCAAGGCATCAGTAAAATTTTTCTTTGAAATTAAATTGATTTTTAATTATAAATTAGGGTATGGATTATTATTATTGTGTAATTGAGATAATGTTTGAATTAAAATTTGAAATTATT